AAGGTTTAAACACAGAAGAAAACATTCTTTGATGGTTACAACGGTGGGGAGGGAGGGTAAGGGTTATTCACTAACTAGATAGTAGACAGGAATTATCTTAGGTGAAGGGAAGGACAGCACACACTACAGGGGAAGTCAGCACAACTGGACTAAACCAAAGCTAAGAAGTTTCCTGAATACAACCAAACACTTCTGGGGACCATGGTTTCAGGGGACATCTAGATCAACTGGCATAACAAAGTTTATTAAGAAAATGTTCTTCATCCCACTTTGGTGAGTGGCGTCTGGGGTCTTAAAAGCTAGCGAACGGCCATCTAAGATGCAGCAATTGGTCCCAACCCACCTGGAGTAAAGGAGAATGAAGAACACCATAGACACAAGTATTAGCCCAAGAGACAGAAAGGGCCACATAAACCAGAGATTTCATCAGCCTGAGACCTGAAGAACTAGATGGTGTGCGGCTACCACCAATGACCACCATGACAGGGAACACAACAGAGTCCCTGAAGAAGCAGGAGAAAAGTGGGGTGCAGAACTCAAATTCTAGTTAAAAGACCAGACTTAATGGTTTGATTAAGACTGGAGGCACTCTGGAAGACATGGCCCCAGGGCTCTCTGTCAGCCCAAAACTAAAACCATGCCAGAGGGCAAAACTCTTCAGACAGAGATTAGACTGGACTACGGTACATAAAATGATACTCATGAAGAGTGTGCTTCTTAGCTCAAGTAGATACATGAGACTAAACGGGCAGCTCCTGTCCGGAGACAAGAGAAGGCAGAGAGGGTCAGGAGCTGGTTGAATGCACACAGGAAATCCAGGGTGGAAAGGAGGAGTGTGCTGTCACAGTACAGGGAGAGCAACTAGCGTCACGTAACAACGTGTGCATAAATTTTTGTATAAGAGACTAATTTGAATTGTAAACTTTCACTTAAAGCACACAATAAAAAAAAAAAGAGGGAAAGGGATCAATTACACCATGTCGTCAAGTGCTGTAGAGTCGGTTCTGACTCACAGCAACCCCATGGACAACAGAATGAAACAGTGCCTAGTCCTGTGCCATCCTTACAATTGTTATCCTTGACCCCCTTGTTACAGCCACTGTGTCAATCCATCTCATTGAGGGTCTTCCTCTCTTTCACTGGGCCTCTACTTTACCAAGCATGATGTCCCTCCTGATTTAACATGTCCAACGTATGTGAGACGTCTCACCATCCTTGCTTCTAAGGAGCGTTATGGCTGTATTTCTTCCAAGACAGATTTGTTCGTTCTTCTGGCAGTCCATGGTATATTCAATATTCTTCCCCAACACCATAATTCAAAAGACTCAATTCTTCTTCAGTCTTCATTATTCACTGTGCAACTTTCGCGTGAATAGGAGGCAATTTAAAACACCATGGCTTGGGTCAGGCACACCTTAATCCTTAAAGTGACATCCTTGCTTTTCAACACTTTAAAGAGGTCTTTTGCAGCAGATTTGCCCAATGCAATGCGTCATTTGATTTCTTGACTGCTGCTTCCATGGGCGATGATTGTGGATCTAAGTAAAATGAAATCCTTGACAACTTTAACGTTTTCTCCGTTTATCATGATGTTGCTTATTGGTCCAGTTGGGAGGATTTTTTACGTTCAGTGTAATCCGTACTGAAGGGTGTAGTCTTTGATCTTCATCAGTAAGTGATTCAAGACTTCCTCATTTTCAGCAAGCAAGGTTGTGTCATCTGCATATCACAGGTTGTTAATACGTCTTCCTCCAATCCTGATGCCCCGTTCTTCTGCATATAGTCCAGCTTCTTAGATTATTTGCTCAGCATACAGAATGAGTAAGTACGGTGAAAGGATACAACCCTGATGCACACCTTTCTTAACTTTAAACCACACAGTATCCCCTTGTTCCATCTGAATGACTGCTTCTTGGTCTAAGTACAGGTTCCTTATGCACACAATTAAGCGTTCTGGAATTCTCTTTCTTCGCAATGTTATCCATGATTTGTCATGATACTTTGTTATGACGCATCTTAGTTATCTAGTACTGCTATAACAGAAATACCAAAAGTGGATGGCTTTACCAAGGAGAAATTTATTCTCTCAGTCTAGTAGGCTACAAGTCAAAATTCAGGGCATCAGCTCCAGGGGAAGACCGTCTCTGTCGGCTCTGGAGGAAGGTCCTTGTCATCCATCTTCCCCTGGTTAAGGAGCTTCTCAATGCAGGCACCCTGGGTCCCAAGGTCACACTATTCTCCCGGCTCTTGTTTCTTGGTGATATGAGGTCCCCATGTGTCTCTGTTCACTTCTCTTTTATATCTCAAAAGAGAGTGGCTTAAAACACAACCTAATCTTGTAGACTGAGTCCTGCCTCATTAACATAACTGATGCTAATCTCACGTCATTAACGTCATAGAGGTAGGATTTACAACACATAGGAAAATTACATCAGATGACAAAATGGTGGACAATCACACTATACTGGGAATCATGGATTAGCCAAGTTGACAAACATTTTCGGGGGACACAATTCATTCCATAACAATACTCAAAATGACATCTTTGCCTTTTAATACTTTAAAGAGGTCTTTTGCAGCAGATAAATACATTGCTTGATTTCTTGACCACCGTTTCCATGGGCGTTGATTTTGGATCCAAGTAAAATGAAATCCTTGACAACTTCAATCTTTTCTGTTTCCCATGGTATTTGCTTTTTGGCCCAGTTGTGAGGATTTTTGCTTTCTTTATGTTGAGGTGTAATCTGTACTGAAGGCTGTAGTCTTTGATCTTCATCAATAAACGCTTCCACTCCTCTTTGCTTTCAGCAAGCCAGGTTGTGTCATCTGCAAATCACAGGCTGATAACGAGTCTTCCTCCATTCCTGATGCAGTGTTCTTCTTCATATGCTGCTCATAGCAAGCCTATAATACCTGTAGCTATTGTTACATCCCATTGTTTAAGTGCTTGGCCGCTAACTGAAAGGTTGGCAGTTCAAACTCACCAGTCACTGTGCAGGAGATGTGGCAGTCTGCTTCCATAAAGATTACAGCCTTGGAAACCCTATGGGGCAGTTCTACTGTCTTATAGGATCACTATGAGTCACAATCAACTGGATGGCAACGGATATCATTACATCCAGAGTTGGTGATTCCTAGAAATTCTGAGGGATCTCATGAAACTGTAAAGCATCTGTTAACCCAATTTTACTCATATTTTCTTTCTAACAAAGAATGGTTATTTCTTCCAAGATTTTGATCCTTGATAGATTTGGAATTACTAAGCAACAGAGAAACCACATTTTATTTTTAGTAAGCTATCAAACATGAAGACAACCAGAAAAAAAACTCTGCGAAGTGGTATTAGCCTCCATTATGACCAAGAGTCCTTAGACAGGAATCAAAAACATACTAGTACTGAAGCTTAGAAGCAGAACTGCTGGCCCAAAAAAGCAGTCCAATGGCACGTTTGACAGAACTTGCCAAATGTAGACAAGAAGGAACAGCAATACACAGCGTGAGGCTGGAGGTTCAGTCTCTGGATCTTGGCTTCAATTCTGTCCAGGCATGTGACATTGACCAAATACTCATTTGTAAAATGGGGAAAATAGCCATATTTGGAGTCAAAGGGTTGTGACCATAAAATAGGTCAATCTAGGTAAAATGCTTAGAACAGCACCTGGCCTACAGCAACACTCATGTGCATTTTAGTTATTATTCCAAGTACTCTAAAAGGGGGTGGGCAAAAATATTTAACTACCAAATATACTTAAAAACAAGCTGCTTTTCCAAGTTCGGATATAGAATGAGGGTGTGTCACGGCTGGTGCCTGGAAAGTGGGGCTGAGATGAGCCCTGCAGGCAGCCAGGCTGCCAATGCTGGCTTCGTGCTTCGTGCTCCCGTCAGCCTCCTACCTCAGGCAGGCGTCCCTGTGGTGTTTACTGAAAACAGCTGACTGTGCAGGTGCCTGGATGGGACAAAGGACTGCCCAACAGTCAGACAGCCACCCTAGAGTCAACCATATTTCTTCTTTCGTTTTGACTGCAGAGAAGAGTTTGTGCAGAGACCACTGGGCTGCTGAGGCCAGTTTTGATCTGTGCAACCGAGCGGCATGGCACATCCAGTCCTGCTGAGCAGGCGCCTGCCCCACAAGGTGCACCATGCAAGTCAAGAGTAAAAACAGTGCTTACTGTCAACCTCGTTACAGGAGGAGCTTTGTTCAAAAGTTCGAGTATTTATTCTGAAATGGTTTATTTAGTGAACAGTTGCTAGTTTCTAGCCCTGTGCATGGTGCTGAGGGAGAGAAAAGAAAACTAATGCCTACCCTCAAGGAGCTTACACTTCAGTTAGGGAAAGAGAGGAGGAGGAAGGTAAGACAAGATAAGGATCTTAATAACTACAATAAGAAGGCAGAATGGGTTATGAGCTCTATTAGAGGTGCCCAGGGCTTCAGCATCAGAGTAGAAAAGCAGACATCACCATGCCAAACATAAAATCTAAGGGAGGGAGGGAGGAAGGCTGCTTTAACCACAACAGGCTGTGTAAGAAATTGAGGATGGATTAATGAATACCCACGGGAAATAAAATTTTCTGAATGATAAAAACAGAGCGTAAGGGTAGAGGAAAAGAAAAAGTTTGCTGCTATAAATCAGACATCTTCTCAAATAGTTCTATAGTAACGGACTTCGTAAACTACAGCAGAATTAAACCTACTACAGAACCACCAGCTATAGCCAGTATCTTCTGAGGAATGTAGCCTTCCAGCAAAGAGCTTGCATTTTCAAGAATATCCACATTATTCACATCATGATGTTCTTATCCACAACACATTAGGATTTTTGCTGGAGACGGCATGATCAGAGGCTGTGAAGTGTCAGAGAACTACTGATTTAGAGGCAGGAGACCTGGGCAGGGAAGGAAGCTCCTGGAAGGCAGCTGGGGCTGAGGGCCCTTCTTGGTCTTTTCTCATGTACAGCAGAGGCTGCCTGAACATTAAAAACAACATTAAAAGGGATGCTTCACTCACTTGAAATGCAGTAATATTTATTTTGGTTTCCTTCATTGTTTTTGGAAATTCTGTTTTGGTTTATAAAACATAGAAATAGCCAACACGTAAAGCAAACATTCAAAACCCCAATGTGACAAATTATTGACTTTTTATGCAATTAACAATAAACATATGAAGTTAGGCTAGTGTTATTACAATGACAATTCTTTAGTGCAAACCCTGTTGTGCTTGATTAATATATGTACTCTCTCATATCCAAGAACAACTGCTTTAAATGTATAAATGACAACTTAGTCAAACGTGGCAAAAGCCTGCAGTAAAATGAAAGGCTGCTAATTTCCCAAATTAACTTTTAAAAAAGTCCCTTGAGAAGTTAATCCCAGGAAATTATTTTTCCAAATTTCAACATCCTAGAATTTTGGCTTGTAAAATACATTTCATAGAAATCAGGTAGCATTATCATACAAGAACATTTGCGTATTACTGTCCATTTCAACAAATACCCAAGAAAATCTACTCCCTTAATATTATTTTTAAAGACATGCTTTGCCTGAGAGTTTATTCTTGGGGGGAAAAAAGCAAGTTAATCACAGGATGATCGTTTTTTGATATGAAAACCACATTAAAAATCTGTTGGCCATTACAAACACAGAGTGACTACTGCAGTGAAGATGAAGTGGACAGTTACTCAGGCGTCACAGTTGGGCATGGTTGATCCAGGTCATTATCTCCTTCCTGAAATGCTTGTCTTCACTGTAGTCTAAGGCAGATTTTTCATTTATCCTTGGGAAGGGATGGAGGGAGGGAACCAGGTCTAGAGAACGGGGTATGAGCGAGAATCCATCTGCTCTGGTGAGCATCTATCCATCTGAGACTCAGCATCTGCACTGCTGTGAACTGGCGCTGTCCTTCAGTTTCCTGTGGGTCTTACACTCCAAAAAGAACAAGGGGGGACTGCAGAGAACAGCATGCACTTCAAAACCCTTCATCAGAAGGGACGTGTGAGTGCACGTGAGATGGGAAGGAAGGGAAGGGAATCAGAAGGGACGTGTGAGTCTGCGTGAGATGGGGAAGAGAAGGAAAGTGTGATTGTGTGTGAGATGGGAAGGGAAGGGAATGAGAAGGGGCGTGTGATTGTGTGTGATATGGGAAGGGAAGGGAATGAGAAGGGACGTGTGAGTGTGTATGAGATGGGGAAGGGACGTGTGAGTGTGTGTGAGATGGGAAGGAGTGAGCAGGGATTCAAAAAGTCTCTGGTCCACTCTGACATTCTCCAGCCTGGACAGTTTCCCTCCAGGGCACTGTACTCTTTACAGCAGCAGAAAACTGCAGAATCTGCAGCAAGTAGCAGACATCTCAGAAACAGCAAAGTCCTAACCCCTTGGTTAGCAAAACAGAGAGACAGAAGTTTTAACACCCACCTTTTTAACTGAAGAAGTCTCAAATAACTTAGCACATTTACAGTTTCCCCTTTACAATTTTTAAGGCTCACTTTGGAAATTGTTTATCACTATAAACATGGCCTGCAACATGAGGTGACCATAAGGCAGTGTTCCGTTTCCTCTAACAGCCCAATGACAAGAACCTCGAGTGGACAAGTCCAACACTAACGTTTCCTTCCGTGTGTTTGCTGTAGTCAAAATTACCAACCAAAGGCCATCAGTAGAAGAAGAGATTGTGGAGGTGTGCGGTTTTCTTTTTCCCAAGCTTTCTTCTTCACATTAGACCTTGATGGTAGAATAAAGTTCCTCTATCTGAGACCTGAAATAATTCCGTAACTCTGGTCTTTTAGCCTTCATTGTTGGAGTCAGCAGGCCATTGTCGACAGAAAATAATTCAAGGTGTAGGGCAATGCCTTTGATCTGCAAATAAGCAAGGCTGTTAAGGGAGGAAAGATGCCATCTGAGTCTAGAAAGCATATGTTGTTGCTGTGTGCTATCAAGATGATCATGACTCACAGCAACCCTACAGGACAGAGTACAACTGCCCCATCGGGCTTCCTAGGCTGAAATCTTTACAGAGCAGACTGCCAGGTCTTTTCTCCCGCAGAGCCACTGGGTGGGTTCGAACCACAGACCTTTTGGTTAACAGCTGAGTGCTTAACCACTGCACCACCAGAGGTCCTTAGAAAGCACATAAGCCACCGAAAGGTATAAAGACCCTTATGGGCGAGCCAACCCATCTCTCACCTCAGGTCAAGCTGCACTTAAACACTCTCCACAAAGGCAGGTATTCTGTTCTTAGGATACAATTCAGGACTGTATCCTGATTTCCAAAAAAAGAGAATTCATACCCCTGGTTAAAAATCCCCTCCTCTGCCAAAACATTCTATTCCTAATTCCTCATGTATTTCCTTGGGTCATCTCATCTTCTTGTATAATTTATTTGTAAAAAAATCTTCAAGTCAAAAATTTGTTCTACAGGAATCCATGCACTTGGATGAAAGTCTTACCTGTTCAAATGGTTTCAGACCAGAATCCTTTCCAAGTCTCACCATGTCTTCCAGGATAGCTTTTTTGACATCCTAATGAAGTTAACAAAAACAAAATATTTCCCGTTAGAGGTACCTGGACATCCACAGGTACATTTAATGCAAAGTTGAGATAAAGAAGGTAGACTGCATACTTCAGAACTCTACCTTATTTCTGCACAGTTCTTCCAAGGATCCTTCAAGTCCTCTCTTTTTGGCCCAGGGACATAATGTCTCAACATCAGGTACCACAATTGCTATAAGAAATGACTTTAACACAGACAAGGGAGTTATTACGTGGCTTGATTCAAACGCTCTAAAATAGTGGCTCTTACTTATTCCAGCATCATGGGCCCCTGAGAGGACCCAATGAAAGTCCGACCCTCTCTTCAGAATGTATCACCCTCCTCAGGAGTCCACTGGGCCCAGGTTAAAAACTCCTGGCTCTAGAGTATGGATGGCATCAGGAATCCTACAGTGAATGTTCAAACGAACCACTGAAAACTAACAACTTAACAAAAAGCCTATTTTGTATTTACTTTCACGTACACTTTATAAAGTAGGGCCAAATAAGCAAACGAGGTGACAGATATCTGAGTACTGCTTTTAAAAAAGAGAAAGAAAATGTATACAGATAAACTTGGGGGAAAAAATCTCCAAAACCTCCTCCTCTACAATAACAAAAAACAAACAAACAAACAAAAAAATCAAAAGCATGGTAAGATTCTAGGTAAAAAACAAAACAAAACAAAAAACAGGTATACTCTTAAAAAAAAAGTAGGTACATTCTTGTATAAGACTAGAAAATATTATTTTAAAATCTCAAGATTTGTAAAAAGATTTACTTGCAGGGAATCACTCTGCCTTCTCTTCCTTACAACCATCTACCCAACATTTTGACAAATAGAAATTTTACTGTAGTGTCTACAATTTTGACTTGGAGCATATTTTGGTTCACAACCACTACTGCTCTAAAATAATTTAGTCGGGTTTAGTATGTTTAAAATTTTTGAACTTTTTATTAATCACAATATCAGTATTTCCTTCATAATTAAATTAAAATTATATATTTCCCGCCCCCACATGTCTCTGGGTACACCAGATGTGGTGTGATAGATCGCTTTGTATGGCATTTCTAGCCATGGTCTTGTAACTCCCACCCAGGTGACTGGGCGGGATTGTGAGACAGGGTAATTGTGACCCACCAAGGGTATTGAAATGAGCCACCCAGAGGTGGTAAAGAAAAGAGCCCACCACCACCAAGGAAGGAGAGACTGGCAGGAGACAATGGGCTTCCGGGCCCACGGAGGGAGAAAGCTGAGGGCCTTTGGGCTGAGACTGAGGGCCAGGGAGAAGCCTACGCCTGACTCACGAATTTGGGACTTCCCAGCCTCCAAAACTGCGTGAGCTATTCCCTTTATACGGTTCGTGAGTTCTGTGAGACATTGCGGTGAATTAGGGAACCCAAAGACGGGAGGGAAGAGTACTGAGGGGAGAGGGAGTAGTTAATGTTAGAGATGATGGAGTGGTACAGAAGCTTGCAAAAGTTGGACATTTGGGACATCTTTAATCTCCACCTCATAGGTACCAGCTTTGTGCCGATCCTTATGAAAGAAATTTTTTGTTTACTAGGCCAGTCTAGGTAAAATATAAACATAGAAATTAAAGAGAAAAACGTTTTCTGGACAAAAAATGTCAAGCAGCAAAAACCAATAATGCATTAATGACATTCTAGCATGTCAGATATGAAAGTTAAGTCATACTAGTCTCAATCTTTCAATCCTATTTAAAGCTCCTAGAGTACAAGGCATTAGCAATGCCTGTGCAACAAAGCGTACAACTCAGAAAGCACATACCTGCAAGCTTTCTCCGTGTACAAACACCTGAGCAACAGGTTCACTTCGTACGTAGATCGTTTCAATTTTTTCAGGGGCTATGTATTCTCCTTGTGCCAGTTTAAATATGTGCTTTTTCCTGTCGATAATCTTCAAGGTGCCATTCTGTTTATCGGAGGGGAGGGGGCTATGAGTGGGTCCAAGGAAGGCTTCCACCCGGCATCAATCACACGCGGTACAAGGTTTTCACATGCACTATCATTTAATCCTCGTGACATCTTGCTGGTGTCAGGTATTATCCCATTTTATAGAAAGGAAAACTAAGGCTTAGAGAGACTGAGTCCCTTGCCCAAGGCCATTCAGCCAAGCACAGAGAGAGCGGGAACCATGGAGCCCATGCTCACTCCACTTTACCAAGTGGCATCACTGACTTGTCAGCCAACCAGTGGCGCCCTGCTTGCTACCTTTAGTTTAGCCCATTCCCTTAGTCTCGTATCTGAATTAGGTGCATACATATCTGGCTCTACAAATGAGTGAAGTTCCTTGAGAGTAGGGACATAGCTTACTCTTCCCCTCACGGTTTGCTGCACAGAATAAAGGTTCAATAAACGTTTACTACACTAAGGCAGGATTTCAGTTTCCTCTATCAGTGTCTCTCGGGGCGGTGGGGGAGGGCGCTCCTGGTCCTTTGGGTAGGGTGAGTCTTTGCACAAAGGACCACCGTACATAACTGCTGGAGGATTAGCATCCTTGGACCAGATCGACCAAATGCCAGTCGTATCCACCACCACCCCCTTTCAAAATGGTAGCCAACACCACCCCACACTTCCATCCATCCCCACTGTTGGACCACTATCACGCCTCCAAAAGTCATCTGCTAGAAAGATTCTAGAGTCTCTCACTCCACACCACTTCTCCATCTTATAAAGGAGCAAACTGAAGTCCAGAGACGTTATGTGTTCATTAGAGCCAGAATTAGAACTGATACTTAAACCTGAAAAGCGGGACTTCATTTACTCCTAAAGGGCTTGGGTATTCTGTAATCTGAATTGATTTGGGGGGCACTTTTCTCATCCACAAAAATTCCAGAGTACCAAACACCTTAAATCTACAATAATTTGATCATATACAATCATCATACACAATAATAAAAAATAGCCATTTTAGTGCTTGCAATTGAACATGGTAACAGTTTACAAATAGCAGTGCTTGTTACCACAGCTGAAAGAACTGGTCAAATCTATGAGTAGGACAAATACGGCTTCTTGTATGAGCCTCTTACTGCTGAACTCTGTTTGGAATTTCTATACAATAAATGGTTCTGAAATTAAATTCAAAGGAGTTGGTTTAGTCCATGAAACATTCAATTTTTCATGAGATGACAAACCTAAGACACACATTTACAAGCAGCTAACAGACACATGAGGAAATGCGATCCCTGGCCGTTAGAGAAATGCAAATCACAAGTACAATGAGATACCACCTCACCCGGGCATTACTGGCACGAATCGAAAAAACAGAAAATAACAAATGTTGCAGAGGCTGCGGCGAGATTGGAACTCTTACGCACTGCTGATGGGAATGCAAAATGGTACAACCATTTTGGAAAACAATATGGTGCTTCCTTAAAAAGCTAAAAATAGAAATACCATATGATCCAGCAATCTCATTTCTAAGAATATATCCTAGAGAAATAAGAGCCCTCACACGAATAGACACGCACACCCATGCTCACTGCAGTGTTGTTCACAATAGCAAAAAGATGGAAACAACTTAAGTGCTCATCAGCATATGAATGGATAAACAAACTATGGTACATACACACAATGGAATACTACACAATGATAAAGAACAACAATGAATCTGCAAAACATCTCACAACCTGGATGAATTTGGAGAGCACTATGCTGAGTGAAATAAGTCAATCACAAAAGGACAAATACTGCGTGAGACCACTATTATAAAAACTCATGAAAAGATTTACACGTAGAAAGACACAATCTTTGGTGGTTACTAGGGAGGGGAGAGGAGGGGAGGGAAAAAACACTAACTAGACAATATATAAGTGGTAATTTGGTAAGACAGTACACAATTCTGGGGGAGTCAGCACAACTTGACCAAGGCAAAGTCACAGAAGCTTCACAGACACATCCAAACTTCCTGAGGGATCGAGTTACTGGGCTGAGGGCTGGGGCCCATGGTCTCGGAGGACATCTAGCTCAATTGGCATAACATCGTTTATAAAGAAAATGTTCTACATCCTACTTTGATGAGTAGCACCTGGGGTCTTAAAAACTTGTAAGCAGCCACCTAAGATACGTCTATTGGTCCCACCCCGTCTGGAGCAAGGGAGAATGAAGACAACCAAAGACACAAGAGAAAGATTAGTCCAAAGGACTAATGGACCACAACTACCATAGCCTCCACCAGACTGAGCTCAGAGCAACTAGGTGGTGCCCAGCTACCACCACCGACTGCTCTGACAGGGATCACAACAGAGGGTGCCAACAGAGCAAGAGAAAAATGTAGAACAAAATTCAAACTCATAAAAAAAGACCAGACTTACTGGTATGACAGAGACTGGAAAAAGCCCGAGAGTATGGCCCCCAGACACCCCTTTAACTCAGTACTGAAGTCACTCCTGAGATTGACCCTTCAGCCAAAGATTAGACAGGCCTATAAAACAAACAATAACACATGTAGTTCAACCATGTATATGAGACTAAATGGGCACACCAGCCCATGGGCAAGGATGAGAAGGCAGGAGGTGACAGGAAAGCTGGACATATGGAAATGGTGAGGAACCCAAGGTCAAAATGGGGAGAGTGTTCGCGTGTCATGGGGTTGGCAACCAATGTCACAAAACAATATGTGCATTAGTTGTTTAATGAGAAACTAATTTGCTCTGTAAACTTTCACCTAAAGCACAATAAAAAATTTTAAAAAAAGACAGAAATACATTTTTTCACAAATTCTTACCATACATCCCAAGAAGGCTACCATAATTTCAAACTGCCTTGTTTACCCAATGCATCAACATCAAGCCACAGCCTCCATACTGTAACAAGCCAGAGTCTCTTTTGATTTCAAACAGAAAACATCAAAACAAAACACATTTGCTACAGTTAAAGGCAAAATCCTAAACAAGTTTTCTAAGAGTATAAACTGGTTCACTGCAAGAAACAGAACAGTTTACATTATACCACTCAACAAGCAGAAAGGGAAAGAGAAAAGTTAGGGTGCCGTAGGGCAACTGTACAGCCAATGGGACACCTTCTTCCCTGCAGTGGAACAAAACTATTTGGGAACAGAGGAGGTAACAACTCACTGGTAACCATTTCCCAACGTCCCCGGTGTGCAGCCAGCCATCTTTATCCAAAGCTTCTGCTGTTTTTGCTGGGTCCTTCAAGTAGCCCTTAAACACATTTGGCCCCTTCACACACACCTGAAGAACAAAAGAGGATCTGTTAATAGCATTTACTGGGGCTTCTCTGAAAGAAAAAAAAATTGGTGTGTGTGTGTTTGTGTGTATGTGGTTAACCCAACCTTTAGCTAGAAGCCCTGAATTCCATGATCCAGAGGGAACTACCAGACCCCTCTGGTATCTCATAAGCACCCCCAATGCCCCCACTTCCCATTCTTAATCACTTCTACTGCAGTCAAACTGTAAGGCTAATGCTTGCCTAAGTCCTGGCTCAAAGATGCTGGAAAGTCTCAAAGGGGCTGAAATCACTTTTAATTAATTAGGCTTACCATCAGTAGCCAGAAGCTCACCAACAGGTATTCAGGGCAATCAGCGGCTAGAGATGTGCCCTGAGGACTTAGGCCACTGGAGCCTCGGCATGATCTTGGACTCAAGTCCCTATCATGCCTGGACGAGAAGGCAGGTGTCAGTGTGCCCCTGAGTGTTAAACATGAAAGTTCCTTCATAATGCAGCCTGTTCAACTCCAGATCACCAACACCACCGAGCTCAGTAGCTTTGTATGACCCTGTGTTAGAGAATGGCCCTGCATTCCTAATGGCTGGCTATCAGAGGAAACAGCATTAAGGGTGAATGACTGATGTGATTCCACTCACCTCACCCTCGCCCTTGGCAGCCATGTAATTCATTTCTTCTACATCAACAAGTTTTATTAAATTGCAAGGCATTGGGGCACCAACATGGCCTGTATATTAAATAGAAGAATTATCACTCATGATATCCTTCAGTCAGCCTTCATATTATTTTTATAACAAACAAGCCTCCTCACAATAAAAGAAAGCTGGTATAAACTTTTGGTTTCTGTGATCACAGCCATTCCTCCCCTGGTAAATGAACGGAAACCCTGGTGGCATAGGGGTTAAGAGCTCAGCTGCTAACCAGAAGGTCAGCAGTTTGAATCCACCAGGTGCTCCTTGGAAACCCTATGGGACAGTTATTCTCCGTCCTATAAGGTCGCTATGAGTCGGAATCGACTTGACGGACAGGGGTTTGGTTTTTGGTTTTTTCATTCCCAGAATAGAGACTAAAATACTCAAATGTCTCATCAGGACATTTCTGAATTATTTTTCAAAGTTTAAGTAATTTGGATGTAGATTTTAAGGGTTACTGTGAATACCCAGCAGCAAGCTTTCTAAAACGTTTACCTGGTGATGGCCCCTGCCCGCTGTTTGTCCCTCCTTTTTAATCACCCCTCCCTCACATAGACTTCTTATTGTCCCGATTCTCCATAAGAAGAGAGAACACAGGCATCTCTGGCAAACCTTGATTATACTGATGGAACCTGTACATAGACCAAGAGGCAGCCGTTTGAACACAACAAGGGGATACCGCGTGGTTTAACGTAAAGAAAGGTGTGCATCAGGGTTGCATCCTTTCACCGTACCTATTCAATCCGTATGCTGAGAAAATGATCCGAGAAGCTGAACTATACGAAGAAGAACGGGGCATCAGGACCGGAGCAAGACTCATTAACCACCTATGATATGCAGATGACACAACCTTGCTTGCTGAAAGTGAAGAGGACTTGAAGCACTTACGGATGAAGATCAAAGACTACAGCCTTCAGTACAGATTATACCTCAACATAAAGAAAACAAAAATCCTCACAACTGGACCAATAAACAACATCATGATAAACGGAGAAAATATTGAAGCTGTCAAGGACTTCATTTTACTTGGATCCTTAATCAATGCCCATGGAAGCAGCAGTCAAGAAGTCAAACAATGTATTGTATTGGGCAAATCTGCTGCAAAAGACCTCTTTAAAGTGTTCAAAAGCAAAGATGTCACTTTGAGTACTAAGGTATGCCTGACCCAAGACCAAAAAACTCACTGCCGTCAAGCTGATTCCAACTCATAGTGACCCTATAGGACAGAGCAGAACTGCCCCATAGGGTTTCCAAGCAGTGGCTGGTGGATTCGAACGGACCTTTTGGTTAGCAGCCAAACCCTTAACTGCACCACTGGTGCCCGACCCAAGACATGGTGTTTTCAGTTGCCTCATACGCACGTGAAAGCTGGACAATGAATAAGGAAGACACAAGAAGAACTGATGCCTTTGAATTACGGTGTTGGCGGAGAATACTGAATATACCATGGACTGCCAGAAGAACAAACAAATCTGTCTTGGAAGACGAACAGCCAGAATGCTCCTTAAAAGTGAGGATGGTGAGACTTACTCTCACAATCTTTGGACATGTTATCAGGAGGGACCAGTCCCTGAAAAAGGACATGATGCTTGGTAAATTAGAGTCAGCGAAAAAGAGGACGACCCTCAACGAGATGGACTGACACAGTGGCTGCAACAATGGGCTCAAGCATAACAACAATTGTGAGGATGGGGCAGGAACGGGCAGTGTTTTGTTCTGTTGTACACAGGGTAGCTGTAAGTCGGAACCGAGTCAGCGGCACCTAACAAGAAGAAGACAGGATGATGCTTTTACTAATTTAACTCTATTGTCAAAGAGTGTTAAGATTGGGTTGCCTTTTCCAAAAACAGCACTAACAGAAAGTAGATGTATTTTAAGAGTTTCACAAATAATTCTTCCTATGTTTTAATAATTTCAGCTTATCACAATTACTATTCCAAATTATCTAGCTGTTCAGGAACCTGGGGTTAAAAATTAAACACCATGAAGAAGATTCACAGAATGTGCAGTGCTACTGATCACTTTTGTGTGCCCTTTCTAGCCATGGTCTTGTAACTCCCACCCAGGTGATTGTGCGGGACTGTGTGATAAGGTAATGTGGCCCACCAAAGGGGGAGAAAGAGAAAGAGAAGGATGGAGGAAGAGAGGGAGAGGGAGAGGGAAGGAAGGTAGGGCGGCGGGGGGAGAGGCAGCAGGAGAGACCCGGCAGCAGGAGACAGCATGTTGGGCTTTCCAGCCCATGAAGAGAGAAAGCTGAGTACCTTTGGGCAGAGGCCTAGCACCAGGGAGAGGTGTGCCTGTGAGCACAGCTGGGGAGAGGCTTCCTGATGGAAGAACTGTATCCTGAGTGTTCCTGAGTCTGAAATGTAACTGTTACTTCCCTAATAAACCCCATAATCACGAGTATTGTCTGTGAGTTCTCTGTGGTCACTGCAATGAATTATTGAACCCAGCAGAGAAGTAGAGAGTGCTGTGGGAGGGACAGCTGGTGTCAGAATTAGTAAAGATGGCGGAGAGAGGAGGCTTGTCTGGCCTCCACCTCATGAGAGTCAGCCCTGCACTGTCGCTCTTGGTTCTCCTTCCCCCTTGTGGGGCTGGAGGAGGTCAGACACTGCCCCCATGTCATTTTTACAGAATGTTAGCATCAGTCCCAGCAGAATCATAAATCTGTGTTACCTGATAGTGGTAACATTTATAACACACCATATTAATCAGGGAAGTTTATCTATCCCAGTGTAAAGTAGACTCTTAGTGTGGCACAGAGGGAAACACAGTTCTGCAGTGAGACCCAGGCTGGAGTCCTGGCTCTAAAGCATAATGTTGCATAAATTCTTATGAATTATTTACATGCTCTTTAAACAACAATCCACAGTTATCTTATACCTCACCAGGATGTCCCTGGGATCAAACACACATAACCTCCATCTTAAACACCTAACATAGAACCGTATCTATGACAAGTACTCAATGAATTATTTTTGTGTTTGCCTTCCCTGTTTCCTTTTGGGAGAAAAGGTCTGTATTTGATTTATATCCGTAATCCCAACACCCAGCACAGCCATTAGTACACAGTGTAAATTTAATAACTATTTGTGTCTTAAATACACATAATTCAATAACTACAAATAATTAAACTACCCAATACAAATAATTAGACCGACTATTTGTCTAGACTATTTGTCTAATCAATTACTGAAAAGATCTGCTGGGCCCAACACTCGGAATCTGGTATAAAAGGTAAACCTCACCACACTGCCACAAAAGCCGTTTTACAGATAGCTCCCTGATTTCCAAGCTTGTTGTCGCCAAAACCAAATTCACTGCCACTGAGTCGATTCCGACTCACAGTGGCCCTATAGGACAGAGTAGAACTGCCCCATAGGGTTTCCAACACTGTAAACCTTTATGGAAGCAGACTGCCACATCCTTCTTCCATAGAGCCGCTGACAGGTTTGAACTGCTGACCCTCTGGTTGGCAGCTGAGTGCTTTAACCACTGTGCCACCAGGGCTCCCCTGTCTGTCCTAAAGCCTAATAATTTGAGACAAAGTAGCACTTATTTAAGTGAGGCAATAAATCAAATCGGTGAGGAATCCAATTCCAATAATTCTGATAATGCAATCCCAATAGCCCGATTCCCATAAAGCACCTCCCCGATCGTACCTGCTGTCCAGTCTCCAGGCACAGTCAGGCAGCAGCCGGCAGTGCACTCTGTCTGTCCGTAGCCTTCGTAAAACTGGGCCAACAGATGAGAGAGATTACTGAAGGGGCACAGCGGGAAGTGCAAAGGTAATGAAGTTCTTCTAACTCCTAAGTAATGGCTGACTGTGGTGAAATCTCTCTTCAAATTTTCTGTTTAGCAAATTCATTCAATAGTAAATCATGCTTTCCTGTGTAACCCAAATATCTTCACTCCCGTGCCAAACACCAGCCACTGTCCACGTTCATCTACTTAACCCCCTGCAGACGGCAAATGAGAACACCTATGCTGCAGGTCACGTTGCCAACTACCGCCCAGGAACCACTGGCTTTGTCAGCTCCTGGCCCTGCCCTCCACATGCTCTGTCACCGAGTCCCTGCTGTCTTCCAGCCCCTGAAAAGATGCTCTCAGCACCGCTGCAGGTTGGTTTCTCACCTGTGATCCATCCCTCTCTCTCACGGCTGACCCTAAACGCAGGTTGTGCACCTTACCCTGGAGAACACTACACGGACGCAGCCTAAATGCACGCTCCCTTGTCTAGGGTAAAAAATTTATACTTATTTCTCCAAGCAACCTAGGAATAAATGACCTTCCAAAGAGAAATAAGACATATACAAAGAGAATAAAAAATGAGTTTTCATAAAGAAGATGATTCAGTATTATAAAGTCTGACGGGAAGTCCCACCTCACCTGACAGCCAAGCGCCGCTCGCAGAAACGTCAGCACCGTAGCAGACACTGGTGCAGCTCCTGTCACCATCATCCTGACTTTTCCTCCCAGACTCGACTTACAACGTGGGGAGAGAGAAGAGGAAACACGTGTTAAATAATAAAGAGGAAACACGTGGCCTCCTCAGTGAGAGAGATCTACTCAGAATGCCTGTGCCCTAATCCACCACAGCCTCCCAACAGGTGCGCAGAACCCACACCTCAGACAATACACCGGGAACCTCAGAGGTGTTCGTAACTGGAATACAGAATTGGAGTTTCTTTCTACCCATAACTACTCCAGTCAGCCTCAGTGGGTGTGAAATAAACCAAGCAGAACAAGAGTGTGGTGGACCTGTGGCAACTACCACAGTTTTGGTCTGTTTTTTTTTTTTTTTTTTGGAGGGGGAGGACATGATGCCTAAAAAAATTACCTCAAGAATGACATACTTACTCCAGAAACGCTAAACAAAAATGAAGACATGGTAACACTATAATGCCCTAGACAGATACAATACTGTTCAGATTTATCTTGGACACAAGGTTTATTTAGTGGCTTTGTCCCTAATTTTTAGAAATGTGCCAGAATTAATAAAAATATTTCATTCTCTCCTTCATCTCCATATCTCCAAAAAACAAAAAATCCTCAAAAAAATTTTGAAACCCTCATCAGTTTACCTAAAAAATAATAGTTGTGAATCGATTTGTTACCTGTATTTTGTGGAAGATGAGTTTATCCCACAGACTGTTGTTTCTAATGATGCCGCTGCGAAGCTCTGCTTCTTTCCTCTTGGAGGCAAAGTCCAGCAGCCACCGTTTCAGTGTGGTGTCTGCTTGTGCAAAAATCTAAGGAGCCAAGAAATAGAAAGGTTCTCAGAGAAGCCAGAAGCCCTCCCTCAAAACGAAGAGTATTCAAACTGCCCAGTCCAACTTCATTTTGGAGACGGCTCATGCCACATGCTGGCCTTGCCACGGGCATGTGGTCCCTGACCTAATGGCTGCCCACAGAGGGGCTGGCATTTCGTCAGTCCCTGCCTTGGCTCAATTCTGACTCATGATGAACCCATGTGTGTCAGAGTAGAACTGTGCTCCATAGGGTTTTCAGTGGCTGATTTTTCAGATGTAGACTGCCAGGCCTTTCTTATGAGGCACTTCTAAGTGGATTTGAGCCTCCAACCTTTTGGTTCACAGCTGAGTGCAGTAACTGTTTGCATCACCCAGGAGTCTCAATGTGGCTAAGTAAGTACAGTGAAACCTGTGAGACTGGAAACTCGTTGGGACGGCCTTGTTTTCTGGGGTCTCACAAGTTTTGTGCCTGTGACAGGGTGCAGTCTTACCACTTTTCTATCACTGTCTATTAACGGAAAATATCTGAGTTTTCCTTCTGTGACAGGTTTCCACCTTATACAGGTTCTGGCTTTCACAAGTTCTACTGGAATATCTGACATGTGGGTGGAGCTTTAAAATCAATAAAATCATTTCACAGTTATTCTTTTCATGTAAGCCAATTACCAAGTTGATGAGATATACAGGAGGGGGAAGGTGGTAATAGTCTCTTTTATAGATGAGAAAACAGGCTCAAAGATTTATTGTGGGAACAAAATGACCCCCACCTGACACCTGTATTGTGCCTTACAGTTTCCAAAGTGAGTTCACATGTGTTCTCACAGAACTCTCACCAACAACCCCATGAGGTAACTATGTTCTAATTTTACAGATGAGTAAAGGGTAGTCCCGTGAGATTAAGAGGACTGTCCACATTACACACATGGTACATGGCTGAGCCGAATTCAAACCCAAGCCTCTGACTCATGGTCCAGTGCTCTGACCCCAACACACTGCCCCTTAGAACTTACTCGGTCAAACATCCGGTTCAGCAGTCTGGGAACGACAGGAAAGATAGTGGGTTGAAGCACCTTGAGGTCATCCATAAGTAGCCTGATATCTCCTTGGAAAAATCCTATTTTAGCTCCATGACACAGCATCACACACTTTCGAGGTAAAGAGAAACAACAGGACATTGTATTGTTGCTACATGTGTTACACACAAACCACACATATTACACACAACCACACATATTACACACAAGACTGCAGTTTTAGTATTTTAGAGCAGTTTCCAGAAATCTTAAAGTTACTGAATATAGGTATTTTTTTTTTCATTCTCGGGTCACTACAACATGCAGATCTGGTGTTTCTCTTGATCATCCTGAAGATAAAGGGTTAATATGAAACTAGAATGTTGTTTTTAGTGATGATAACAGAGGTGCTGTTAATTTAGCTTCAGGACAAATATCTTTTGGATGAATGACATGGTATTAATATATTCTAGGTATTTTTAACCTTCCAGAAATTTTAGGTTGAATTTATTCTCAAAACAAAAACTTAACTACTTGCTTACAGTCCAAGCTTATTACAGCCTCATTTTCTTTTATTTGAATCTAACTAAAAATTCCTGAAAAGCCACTGAAGATGCTGAAGTTGAGACACTAGGACATCTAATACCAGAGTGGCTTGCCATTCAGCTAACCCTACTTCGTGGTTTTTTTCTTGTTTCCTCTCAACTGTACATTGGCAAGCCACATGTACTGACAAATAGTCTTTGCACTTTAAATTTAAATAAGACAGAGTCAAACTGATGGAACAGAAGTACAGTCTCAGGCTCGAAAGCAGAAACCACTGAAAAGGCACACCTTAAAAGCTACAGTTAGATATGTACTGTAAGGTCCACTATCCACTCTCTTGGGATCACTTTATAAACTCACAAGCTCTCCTGAGGTGTGTGTGCAAGAAGTAGAAGTAACAGATGCAATGTGGGGTCTAATGGTCCTTGGTCCTTTAAAGGGCTGTGTAAATCCTACAGGGCAGCAATCCCAGGGCTGGTTCTCTATTAGTTACCTATCTCCGGTACCCAGCATAGCACCTGCAACATGGAGGCGCTCAAAAAATATTTGCTGAATGAATAAATGGTGCTCATTGCTTTTACCATGACTACACAATGCAAAATTGTCCAAGAAAACAAAAAGATGGTTCTAGGTCAATTTTTAAATTAGTCACACAGTTGTGCCCAGGAAGCCCAGGCAAAGGTCAGCTAAAGATCATCCTGCTTTCCCAAAGGCACCTAGAACATTGTTGAAAAAATTAGCCATTAAGCCAATTTAAAGCCCGACTATTTTCCAAAGCAGCTGTACCAATTTACGTTCCCACCGACAGTGTATGAGGGCTCCAATTTATCTACATCCTCACAGCACTTATAATTATCTTTTTTTTATTACAGTCATCCTAGTGAGTATGAAGCGGCATCTTACTGTATTTTGATTTGTACTGTAAACAAGCACAATCAAAAATAGAGACTTCTTCAGACAGGGTCAGGAGCTGGTTGAATGGACACGGGAAATTGGGTGGAAAGGAGGAGTGTGCTGTCACAGCATAAGGAGAGCAATTAGGGTTACATAACAATGTATAAATAAATTTTTGTATGAGAGACTAACTTGAACTGTAAATTTTCACCTACAGTACAATAAAAAACAGAGACTTCTTACAGGACAGACGCGTCACTAGGTTTTGTAGATTCAGTAAAAGCTTGTTTCAGTTAATCTTTTTTGAATCATGTCTATATTAGCATCCTCCAAAGATTTGAGCTTTTAATTTTTTTCTTTTTTGACATTTCATATAAATGGAATCATATAATATGTGGTCTTCTGTGACTGGCTTCTTAATATGTTTTCAAGATTCATCCATGTTGTAGCATGAATCAGAACTTCATTCCTTTTTATTATCAAATAATATTCCATTGTAGGGACATACCATAATTTGTTTATACATTCTTCACTTTACGAACATTTGGGTTGTTTCCACATTTCTGGTGCTATGAGCATTAGTGTGCGAGTGGCTGTCGACATGTTTTCACTCATCCTGGGGTCTAACCTAGCAGCAGAATTGTTGGGCTGTGTGGTAACTCTATGTTTAATCATTTAAGGAACTGCCAGACTGCTTCCAAAACAGCTGCATCATTTTACATTCCCACCAGCAGTGTGTGAAAGTTCCAATTTCCCCACATCCTCACCAACTTATAATTATCTGCCTTTTTGACTCTAGCCATCTTAGTGGGTATGAAGCGATATCTCATTGCATTTTGATTTGTATTTTCTGGATGGCTAATGATGCTGAACATCTTTTCACGTGCTTATTAGCCATTTGTATATCTTCTTTGCAATAATGTTTATTCAGACCCTTTGTCTATTTTTTAATTGGACTATTTGTTGTTTTGATTACTGAGATGTAAAAATTCTTTATATGTTATATATTTTCAGATACGAAAATATTTTCTCCCATGCCGCTGGACTGTCATTTCTCTTTCTTGATGGTATGAACTTCTAAATTTACAAATGGATAGTTAAAGTTCAAGAACCCAAGCTCAGAAAAAAAATTTTTTTTTACACTCTTTTAAATAATTACCACCGTTTCTAAATGGGGGCTAAGTAAGGAATCACCTATGGAGATGAGAATTTGCAAATGACACTTACCTGAAGCAGCTGCTCATACATGTGTGCAAGTGGTAAAAATGAAATGTGTGTGTCACTGGCATTCAAGATAAGCACTTTCTGTAAAACACAACAACTTAGCACAACACAAACAAACAAGCAAGCAAGCAAAGGGAACAAAACTCAGTGCCTACCTCTACAACTCTCTCAAACATATGGGCCAGAGGCAAGAAAGAAATTAAAGTATCATCTGGGCAAGGAGTGACTGTATTCTGTAAGCAAAGACACCAGCAAGGCAGAAAAGTATTAAGATTCCCAGTAATTTTCCCATTTATTTCAGAGCACATAGTACTACAATATTAAGGAGAAGGAGACTTTGCTTACGGTCTGTAGTAATTTCTCAGCAAAGAATGAAATGAATAGCAATACTTTAATTATTCAAATAAAGTATATGAGATCATTCCAAATGACAAGGTAAATCAGGAATTTAGTCAAAACAAGCAAAATTTTACTCCAAGTGGGATATTAAGGGATTACATGCTCTAATCATTTAATATTTCAGATTTACAGTACCCGCTGCCCCACATGCTCAATTCCACCTTGAGGTAAGAAATACAAGCAGATCATTCCAACATAAGATAGCACTGGGGAAGGGAGAAAGGAGACAGGAGAAGCTGGATATCCAAGGTTCTTCTATAAATGCACCTAGAATTTGTCTGATCAACATTTTTACCTTAAAGCCCTACTTGGTTGCTGTAAGCTGCCAAAACTGCCCCCAACTCATGGTGACCTCACACACAATGAGATGGGGCTGCATGATCTATATGGTTTTCAACGGCAGATTTTTCAGAAATAGACACTAGGCCTTTCTTCCTGGTCCATTTTAGTTTGGAAGCTCCGCTGAAACCTGTTCAGCATCATAGCAACACCCAAGCCTCCACTGGCAGAGGGGTGGGGACTGCACCTGAGGTGCCCTGGTCAGGAACTAAACCTGGGTCTCCCGTGTGCAAGGCAGGAGTTCCACCACTGAACCACCACCGCCTCCACAAAGCCCGGCGTCACCCTGTGAAACATATTCCAATTTGTTTAACGCAAGCTCAGAGGTGTACCAGGGGATCTGCTCTCCTGTAAAACGCCGAGCGTGATGGGTCTACATCCGGTCTAAGTTTGGATGTCAAGTTTTCATCTCATAGCTCAGAATGCGCTTTACTTAGAGGCAGGCATACTGAGCGTTTGCATAGAAGAGTGTCCTCGTGTTCTTAACATAAAGAATTTTGGCCAAAACAGGACACTGCCAAGAGCAGCTGCTGCCACACCAACCAGGAAATGAGGGAACCGTCAAGTTGGCAATGTGGGTCCTTCTGAGCCACACCCCCCCGTCCCCAAAGCTGGGCCGTCCTTAATAGGAACAGGGTAATAGGTGAAAACACCCGTCACGAGCAAACAGCAACCCCGGAGGTGTTCGGTGTAGGCTGAGCTGCCATAATCTTAGTTTAATTTTACTCAAGTGTGACCTGTTTGCCAACTAGTTCTCAGAATGCAGCTGTCATATAAAGAGCAGCTAACTTAATTTTCTGATTTAGTACAAAAAATAATATCCCTTAGCCTGATTAAAAGTTTCATGGAGTTGAGAATGCCTCTTGATACAATAATTGAATTTTTAAAAAGTCTTGTAATCATTTGCCTCAATAAGCCACCAATGTATTTAAGTTTTCTTTGCAGGCCTATTAGAAAATTAAAATTTCACTTTGGTAAGGTACTAAACGTTGATTTCTGTTTAGAAAGTATACACCAAAAAGGGTATATGGAACTAAGAAAGTGTTAGTGTAGTAAAATAAGTGGCAGGATCCCTAAAAGATCAAGATTCTGCAGCCATCAAAGACATCACTCCCCAAAACCATTAAGCACAGGCTCCTGCCACCAACACTGGGCCTACAGAATACTTCCAAGAGATTGCAAAAGCAAGTTATGAAAAACATGAAAAGGGCATGAAGGGAAGGCATTATATTGTTAAATAAGTACCTTTTAAAAGGCAAGTTTGAAATATACCTTTGACTAGCAAACTTTACGATTATAGGAAATTAAATTTCTAGGCTTTAATCCTTTTCATAAAATGGAAGGCAAAATGACCAAAGAACTAATAATTCAAAAAAACCTCAGCAATATTTAACATTTCAAAAGAAAACTATTTTCCTAACACTGGAATAGTGGATAAAAGCACAAGAGAGTCATCTCCTCCCCGTCCTTTCCTGAAAATATGTACAGAGCAGTCTCCAAATGCAGTTTCACAATATAAAACTACAGCAAATTCTGTCACTTCCACTTACCCATCACAAGCAAGAGTTGGAGATTAGGTTCACAATGAAAATAATTTGAGAGAAGGTGATCTTTAAGATTCAGACATATATTTCAGGTAGGATTCCAAATACAATACAGACCTAACACAGTGCACCACCTGGTAACTCCAAGCCATAAAGTATCATTCAAGATTTCTATGAGTCACCCTGACACTTTCATTTTGAGGCCTAATGCCAACCAATGAATGAATAAAGATGACAATGTCCCAAAGCTTACCTCTGTTATTTTCACAAAAGCTGAGCAATCACACATTATATTTTGATGGGTGATCAGTGCTCCTTTGGGGTTGCCTGCAGAATACATATGAAGCAAAACAAAGTTAGAGTAAACAAAACTCCTTCCAAGAATGGTAGTAATGGACGAAGCTCAGAAACCATGTATGATTAGGACCTCAAATGCCCCTAGGGTCAGGCACCCCTATGAAAGCCAATTGGTGAGTGACACTAAATTCCTGAGCAAACTGAAATCCTTTAAAATGAATCTTATTATCGAAAACTATCTTTATTAACACAGACAAGTTTTAGAGGACGTGTATAGCAATAACAGGGGAGAAACCAGGAATTTTATTACTGGAAACAACTGACACAGTTTGTCCCAGGAAAATGGATGACTCTCACGTTGCATTCAATAAATGTTTGAGGAAATACAAGGTTCTCACAGATTCTGAGGATGTCCTCTAGAGTAACAAGAGACATCACTGGGATCACTTCAGTCTATTCTGCTTTCAGTCCATCTGTAGTTAGCTGATAAGTCATCCAAAAAAGGGGGCAGAGAGTCCAAACTTCCAGAAACCACTTAGAAGCAATGTCATTTCAAAACTTACCTGTAGTTCCACTGGTGAAACAAATTATTGCAAGATCTTCAGGTGCTGGGGGCTAAGGCAGATAAGGAAAAAAAAAAAAAAAGTTGTTAAAAATCAGAATAGAGGAGAACAATGTAAGTCGTAAAGTTGTGGTTGTTACTTGCTGTGACCCCATGTGTGCAGAGCAGAACTGCTCCACAGGGTTTTCAAGGCTGTGACCTTTTGGAAGCATCACCAGGCCTGTCTTTCGAAGTGCTTCTGAGTAGGTTCAAATGGACAATCTTTTGGCTACTTATCATCGAGTGCTTAACTACTTACATCACCCAGGGGCTCCAAGCCACAAAACGTCATCTAAGGTTTCTACTAGCCTCTGAAATGAATAGATACACAAAACCACATAGAGAGCTGTGACAGGGTCTGACAGTGTACTTACCTTGGGCTTCTGTCTGTTGGCTCTTCCCAGATTCTTGATTAGAAAAAGAAAAAAAAAAATCTTAAATGGAAATGTTTTCTAAATGTAAAGAATAAGGTCACATCAAGTTACGTACGAATGACTTTACTGTGAGGCTCACTCACAGCTGGTCCAAAGACAACTTAATTTTCAAATTAAATAAACTATAGCAATTTTAACTAACCCACACCCAAGTATTTACTCATTGTTCTAAGAAGCCACTTTCCAGATGTCTTCCTTCTTTTATAAAACTATATAAATGGTACGAGGAATGGCTTTGAAATAGGACTTACTCAAAAGACAGTAATCAAAGTCTTTTAAAATGTACTGTCTCTACTCTCACTTCCTATTACGGTCTTATAACTAAGTCCTACTCTTAACTATAACCAAAGATTTATATCCACTGATTAAGAACAGAAACACTGATGTCCAAATAAAAGTAAACTAAGAGCCAAAGCAATGATAATTCTGCAAAAAAAAAATTTCAAAATAATCTTCATCAGATCCAAAGTTTCACTTCTGTTCAAAATGCTTACAGAGCTTCTTGAGATCTCCAATACTCCAAAAATTGATATTAAAGAAAATAAGGCAACAACTGTATGTAATTTGGCTTTAAACTCACTGAGAATAAACAGTATCCAAGTTAGTGCACTATTTGCAAAGAAGGTTTCATACTCCAAAACATTTCCTATGTCTTAATTTAGAAAAAAACATAGCGATTGTAAAAATAAATGAGTTATTATTTTTAGGTTCAAAATGAAAAATTTTACCTTCAAAAAGAACCACAAGTAAATACTGAATTCTAGTTAATGAAAAGCATGATGAAGTATTTAGGGGTGATGAAGTCTGGAATGTACTTAAAATGCACGAATAAAATAAGATGGATTAATGAACGGATAGAAGAATGGAGAGACAAGTAAGTATGTGATAAAGCACGTATATTAAAACGTTAATTGTAGAGTTTAGGTAGTGGGCATATGGCTGTTTATCGTACGATTCTTTCAGCTTATCTGTATATTTGAAATTTTTCATAATCAAATACTGAGAAAAATGTAAAAGTTCTATTTCTATTTTTGATCCTGAAAGAAATGTTAATATAAACTTGATCAGAAAATCAACTCTAATGTTACATTTGAATTCATCTGTTAAAAAATTAAAAAAAAAAAACATGAATCATATTTAACTAGAAAATGTAAACACACGAATCACATTTTACAGAACAATGTCCTTTACAAATAAAGATAGCATTAATAAAAAAAATAAAAAACCAAACCCGTTGCCGTCGAGTCAATTCAGACTCATAGTGACCCTATAGGACAGAGGAGAACTTCCCCACAGAGTTTCCAAGGAATGCCTGGTGGATTCTAATGGTCGACCTTTTGGTTAGCAGCTGCAGCTCTCAACCACTACGCCACCTGGGTTTCCAGCATTAATATAAACTTTATATTACAATCTTTAATCGTATCATTTTTTTAATCTTAAACTTTGCTTCTTCATTATATAGCAGTCAGAAATGGCCAAAAAATTCCCGTGTGTGTCTTGGCAGGGGGGTAGGGTGGAAGGAAGAGAAGAAAAGAGAGATTATTGTCAAAAGGGTTTTCAACTTAAAAAGAAAAAGTGGGGAAATGCTAGGCACAAAGCCAGCTATTAACTCAAATTAATGATAAAACACTCCCATTTGCCCTTATGGAGTCATGTTCTGATACTGTGGGGGGTGGGGGGCAGAATGGTTCTGGTAGAACAAATGAGTTTCCCTGTGACTACTAGGGTCTCCAGGAAGTATAAAGTTCTATAAATTCTTACTTATAGCCTCAAATACTTTGCAGGAGGAGGAAAACTAAAAATACATTTTGAAAACTCTACTTATTAAACAAACAATTTCACAAAGAGAATGATATACTATATGAAAACAGACTCTATTTAGCCGTTTATTCCCTATGATGTATAAAAAAAGACCCTCCTCTTGCCAGCGTCCCTGGATTGAACCCCAACCGGGGGTCCAACAGGGGGATCAGCTGGGTCCAAACGGGGGACCAACTTCTTAGATAAGCTGACACCAAGCAACCAATTTAAATGCGGACCCCACTCATTTCCCTAGATTGGGTTGCCATTTAAGTTGTGATTAATGTGAATCTTAAGAAATTTAAAATAAAAACAAAATCAAACATCTACACTGAAGTCCACCAGGACTCTAACAAAAGCAATGTGGGAAAAGAATAAAGGGGCAGATTTCTATATCTGGCTGTTTTAAAGGCAAACCAGGAAGACACTGAAGTCTAAAGAGGACATATACACTTACATTTCCATCAGTCTGAAACTCAAGTTCACACTTCCAGCATCTGTCTCCACAACTAGGCAGTGCTTGTGGTGCAATGGATTGCTTTTACATGGCCTTTTTCACCACGGTCTTGAAACTCCCACCAAAGTGACTCGGTAGGACTATACAAAGAAGGTGATTGTGGCTCACCAAGGGGACTGGACAGCTTGCTAATAATGCAAATAAAGTTCATGGCACCCATGTAGGGGTGGGACCACGCAAATAAGGTCTATGGAACCCTAACGAAGGGACTGATCAATTTTGCCATCCCGCTAGGCTTAAAAGGAGTCATCCCAGAGGCAGGAGAGGAGGATCTCACCACCACCAAAAAGAAGAGCCAGGACTGGAATGTGTCCTGTTGGACCCGGGATCCCTGTGCTGAGAAGCTCCTGGAATCAGGAGACCGACAGAGAGAGCTGTAACACTGAAGATGGTGAGAAGCAGCGACAGAGAAACAGCGGCAGAAGAGACCGGCAGGAGACGGTGCAGTGGGCTTCCCGGCACACAGAGCAAGAAAACTGAGCACCTTCTGACAAGAGGCTTGCTGAAGGAGTAGGGTGCCTCTGGGCACTTGGTGGAGCTAGGTTTGTAGATCCCAAGGAGCTAGAGTTGAGTGTCTTCAGTGTGAGGCTTACTGGCAGAGTGGGGTGCCTCTGGGCACTTACCAGCACAGCTAAAAAAGCTTTGTAACACTTGCCTGAGCAGGGTAGGGGCCTACAGGCCAGAGAGAGGCCTGCGGGCACAGCTAAGAAGAGGCTGTCCTGATGGAAGAACTGTATCCTGAGCATTTCTGAACCTGAATTGTAACCTGTTACTTCCCTAATAAGCCCCATAACTGTAAGTACGGTCTGTGAGTTCTGTATGGCCATCGCAACAAATTATCGAACTCAGCAGAGAAGTAGAGAGTGCCACGGGAGGGACTGCTGGTGTCAGAATTGTAAAGTGGTTGGAGCCATGTCTGACTTCTGCCTCTCAGGAATCAGCCTTGGGCTGTTGATCTTGACTCTCCTTCCCCCTTGTGAAGTTAGAGGAGGTGAGCTGCCATCCCCACACCATTTTTACAGTGCTCTGGAATAAATATGTGAGCGGGGCAACTCACTTTACAGGAGTGCTTCCTTTAGGATGCACTGCACTGGCACACAGGCATGCATGTGGAATCTGTCTTTCCAATAATGAGATAGAAATTTCTGCTCTATACCTTCTATGGGTTGCTAGGACAACCGGCCAGAGCTGGGATACCAAACTAGAATCAAAATGCCCCCAAGGAAACCCTTCAGAGATGCGGGCAGGGCAGAACAACTCACCTGCAGTGCTTTCATGCTGATGATTTCCACCCCACACTTCTTGCCACGTTCCACCACATCACTGCCGTAAGACTCCATGACAACTATGATTTTAAGGCCTGGTATTAACTTATTCTCTACACAATCTAATAAGAAATTGGCCTTCTCTGCCTTGTCAACAAACACCAGAGAGAGTTCAGCTGGAAAGAGATACAATAAGGAATAAAGTTCTGGGATACTAAAAGCTTGACTCTATAACATCTAGCACAAGATTATCTTAATTTCTACATTATTTGAAGAGAATGATAGATGTGCATTTAAATAAAAAAGCCCTGTGAAATCAAATATAACCAAATGTAAAATCACTGACTCTAACCAATAACTAGGTTGATACCCAACCAAAGACCACAGACATACCTTTGTTAATTATGTATGGGACTGCTTCTGATCCAAGGGTATCATAAAGTGGAACCACCACCATGGAATAAGCAAAGCACCCCTGTTCAATAATCACCCACTAAACAGGTAAAGGTCAGGGAGAGAAAACGAGATGTTACAATACAATCACTCCAAGGAGAACAATACTCTAGAGAGATTCAAAGTGAAAACATCTGACACTGCAAAATAAACATTTGTGTAACTACTGCCCTATGCAGGCACCATGAGGGATTCATGAGAACAAAACCCTTGTGCCTTTCTTAAAAAGAAACTGCAATTTGCCAGAAGAATGGAGGCAAATGTATGAAAAGATAATTAATCATACAAGACAGTGACTGACTCAGACGGGAGAGCCCACTAAAGCGCCGAGGTGGTTGCCGAAGGCTTCGGGGAGGAGGCACCTGAGCTCGCCCTTTGCAACAGGAGCAGGGTTTGAGCTTCTCTTTGGAGAGAAAGTTAAGAAGATTCCAATAGTGGGGGACTACTCCCTTCCAATAGAGGGAGGAGGGTCAGGGAGTAGTATGATTTGGCTGACATGGATGGTTCCAGCTGGGCAGTGCAGAGAGATGAGCCTGGGGAGGTAGGCTGGAGGAAGACTGGGGCCATGGAAGTGTCTGGCCCATGGAAGTGTAGGCAAAACAATGACTGTGGGGTTTGAGAGAGATTAATCTGGTAGCAGTGTACATATGGCGTGGGAACAGGAGAAAGTGGGCACATACTTGTCTAACAGGAAAAACATTTTTGGCAAAATATCCCCTGAAAAATCATGAAGGAAAGAAGGGATATAGTAACTGTTTATCTTGCCTCTAAATTCATCAGCCCAATAGCAAATGATGTACCTAAAAGGCAAATTTGGTAAAATCACTCTTTATAATCCCTAGTGCACCCCATTACCTCCGGCTGCACTTTTCAAATGAAATCTTATGCCGAACCCTGACATGCAGCATAAAAGAATGTACAGCTGCCGTGGGTGGGGGCATAAACACTTGGCCTGAAGAGTTTTTTTCTTTTTCCCCTGAAATGGTTTTCAAGCTACCAACACCGTGGTAAAGTCCTAGCTTAGGAGTGCACAGGAGGCAGCCATGCCCTGGCTCTTACCTCTGTTTCTGCCTCTCATCCTGCCACTCCAGGCCCTACTCTACACTTCGTTCCCACACATACATGTGCTGTTTGATGAGAAGACGAAGTCGCTCCTGATGTTGCTTCTGCCTCCCCACTCTTACTTCCTTCAAGATTTGTATGTGAGAACTAGCAAAGCCTCATACAGCAGGTGCCTCATGGTTTATACCTCAGGTCTGTTTTGAGCAAAGATGCCAATGAACTGATCTGGGGAGGTCTTGAAGCCCTTCTGGATCAGCGCCGAGCCCACACATTCTGACAATTCTGCAACCTAAAATGGGGATGAAAAAAAATCAGTAGCAGTATCAGGCCCCATCTTGAGTAACAAAGCTTCCTGCTGAGTGACGGATGAGTCTAGTATCTCAGCTAGCAAGTGGTGCTGTACAGGGAAGGGGGAAGGGACAAGAAGGTATTCCCGCATTTATAAATCGTTTTGTAAAAGAGGGTTTTGTGCCCCAGAATTCACGGTAAAAACTGACCACAGGCCTCCTCGGCAAAGTAATCAATCTCATTCCAGCAGCTGCAGGCCACGTGTGTTCATGTGAGGGTTCTTACATATTTCTTTTTTTATTTCTGTTTTTTTAAAATTACAACAGTCACACAGGGACGTAAAACATTTTTTTCTTTTTGGTATTTACAAAGAGCAGCAAAGCAGCCAAAACATGTCATTTGGTATAAACACAAAAACAGCCAGTTTTCTGAGAGACCTTAAAAAAAGAACAAGTTCTTATCATTACATTTCACAATTCAATTCTTGAGAACGTATTCTTAGAAAATAATTCAATCTTAGGAGACAGGGTTTTAAAAAGCCCTATGTTATAAAGGTATATATTTCAAAATCATCTCCAACTGCAAAACTCTGAAGGAAACAGAGACCAATCGCTGGATAGTTAAGTGATAGTAAATCTCTTAGAAAACTCTATGTATCTAATGAATATTACAATTACGAGACCATATCTGCTGTAGCAGACCATCTGTAGCGATGTTAAGTAAAGTCAGTAAATACAGAAATGTATCCTATCACCATCACACCTAGGCAGAAATAGGCAGATTCACAAAAATGAAGACAATATACCACCCTGACCCTTTCCACACACCCACCTCAAATAAAGCACAGTTTTTTAAAAATCCTAAATTTAGAGTTCTTTTCGTATTCACATTTGGTGAATTCTCAAGGGTACAGGCCCACCCACACTCATAGGCAACAAAGCCACACCAGTGTGCCTGTCCTGGAATCCTGCTAGTCGGGCACACAGCGCCAACCCAAGCCCACCTAGAGCAATCGGGACTGGCCCTGGGGAGGTGCCGGCAAGAACAGCATTAACATATTTATTACTTTCATACAACACGGGCTATTTCACAACTCTTGCTTACATTTAAGGAATCATAACCTGTGAACTGCCTGCAATTGTTTGCAAACCTTAGTAGGATAATATGCCTACGTTCGTGTAGCTAGAAAAAGGGTCCATACCGTCCCTCGAAAGGGTATCCAGCCCCTAAAAAGGTCAGAATTACAGGCAGTCCCCAACTTACGACAGGGTTCCATTCTGATGACCACTCCGTCTAAGTCAGTTCTGACATAAGTCAAATACCTCATTTTTTTTTCACTATTATTGCCTTTTATTATCACTATCTTTATAAATCCGATCTTCATTTGACCTTGGGGGTTGGAAACATTACATCTTAGAATGATGACATCAGCAAATCACGTGCTGCAACACTGAATGTAATACATATTACTAACAATAAACCAAACCAAACCCATTGCCAGTGAGTCAATTCCGACTCACAGCGACCCTTCAGGACAGAGTAGAACTGCCCCATAGGGTTTCCAAGGAGCAGGTGGGGGATTTAAACTGCCGACCTTTTGGTGAGCAGCCACTGCACCACCAGGGCTCCATTACTAACAATAAGATGTCCAAAAAAAAAAAAAAAGACAGTCCGTGGTAACTCAAATACGTCGTAAGCTGGAGACAACCTGTATTGGGCTAGTTAAAAAAAAATGACTTAAATGTACGAGTCCAAAGTTGGTTTCAGTTAAGTACAGTTTTATATCTCTACCAGCCTCCACTGAAATGTATGATATACAGGTTACCATCTTCAGAAACCCCAAAGATTTCAATCTGCCTTGAAAATGCGATCTGAAATGGACATGTCTTCTCTCTTCCAGCCAACAAATATAACAGAGGTGATCCAGAAAGCACATGAGTAGCCTGTGAGGCCTTAGGATCATCACACAATGATCTATGTCCAATGTTATATGAACTGTTTTTACACCATTTTTGAAAACGAGGGATCGTAGAAACTACTGTTTGGATGGGAATCAGCTATTTGGCTCTGGTCACCTGAGATACAGCTCATTACTCCTTCTACAGACAAGGTGTGGTTTGCTGTTTCACCTTGTCACTCTTGAAAGGGATTAAACACTACCCAAAACAAAGCCTTTTGCATTTTGCCGATTGCAAACAGTTACGTGCTGGGCTACTAACCGAAAGGTTGTCAGTTCGAGTCCACCCAGGAGTGCCCCAGAAGAAAGACCTGGTGATCTCCTTCCGAAAAATCAGCTACTGAAAATGAAAACCCTATGGAGCACAGTTCTACTCGGACACACGAGTCACCACGAGTCAGAGTCGACTGCACAGCAACTGTTTTGTTTTTTCCCAGATGAGGGAAAGGAAGAAGCTTGTGTTTACTCTAGGAAGGACCCAGAGGCACTATTCCACAAGTGTGACGTTGTGGCTCCAAATGGATGCCCACCACACAACACACCAAATACTAAAAACATCTTTCACACAAAACCTAAAAGGAGGAAGTTAATCTACATTCACGAATGCCCCAGGATTACCTGCTCCTAGAGCAGGGAGAAGCAGGAACCCAGGGGGAGAAAGCCATTTCCTGGGCAGCTGGCTGGGAACAAAAGGCAGCCAGGCTGACACCTCCAGCTGCTCATGCATGTCCTCCGGGCACTGCTGGGACTGGGGAAAGCAGTGGCATCTAGATTTGTGAGCGTGATAAAAATAAAAATACAAAGCAGTCTTCCTGCTCTGCTACCAGCAACTCACAAACTCCTACTGAAACAGCTGCAGCAGTGAATCAGCGGGGACTGCAGAGCAACAAGACTACAAATACCCAGCCCCCTCTGCGTCCATGCAGTAACACAAGTGTCTTCTCTGAACATCTGTGCTGCTCCCTGAGGCAGCCCTGGGTTTAAACGTCACCCCAGTTTCGAGCTGGTCATGGACAGCTGTGAGCATCAGGAGGATGCGCTGGAAAAGCCCACACGATGGCCGCAGGCCTTGCTTCTGGTCCTGGTTCTGCCACTGACCAGCTGTGACCGTGGGCGAGTCATATCCCTTCCTGGGGTGTGTTTTCCTCATCTACACAATGAAGAGAGTTACTCTAGATTGAGCTTCTAGACTTTTCCATCACCCCTCCAGGGAGAGAGGAGTAACCCTACTCCCAGGGGGTCTGGAAGAAGTCACCTGCCTCAAGCACATTTCCAGAATTTTATCTTACAATTATATTCTAATTCTACAATGTATCCACATCAGTTCTGAAATTCGGTGCTTTGAATCCCCAGTTAAATTACTTAGCTACTCTTTCCTAAACCTTTGTGTAAAGCTTCTCTCTATTTGAACGCTCCACATTTATCCTGAAGCTGAGCTAGCCCAGCACATATACTTTCTAGAAACCTTCCAGACCTAACATTCAAGCACTCCAAGAACTAAGTATGTCAGCACTACAGCCTGCAGGTAATCCATCGCAGCCAGAAAACTCACCTCCTTGTAGGAAAGCCATTCATAGGGTTGGTCTGGTTTCCGAGAGCCTAAACAAGGCCCATTATCTAAAAAAAGAAAAAGCAATAAAAAAAACAAAAGATGAGTTTAACAGGTATAAACATTCCTAGATTTTAATTTGCATCCCACCTCATTCTCCAAGTATGGGGTCCTCAGATTAGAAACCACTAATTCAGACTGGAAATGTTTCCCCTCTGGACTTTCGTCTGATACTTTGTTTTCTTGTCTGTTTCTTAAACAGGGAAGCAGAGTGGTAGGAAAGAGAGAAGAAAAGGCAACTACTATTTGAAGGACACTCAATTTGTGAATTTCTCTTTAACACCCTATTGCTTTAGAACAAGGTGGCAGTCTGCTTCCATTGAGATTTACAGCCTTGGAAACCCTATGAGGTCGCTATGAATTGGAACTGACTCCATGAGTTTGGGCGTTTGGTTTGGTTTAGAACAGGAATCAGTATCCGAGTGGTACAAAGATCCTGGTGTAGGTTTTCAGAAAAGCTATTCTTTAAAATTTCTAAAGAAGTTTAAAACATTCTAACTCAGAACATGAAAAGGAAAATGTAATTTTTAAGTGCCCAAATTCTGATGACCAAAGGTATCAAGAATTGCCTGGAATCCTAATTACATGGGTGAAGTCTTGATTCCAGAGAAACAAAAATCAAGAAAAGATACAAAATGAGGGGGAATAAAACGGGCATTTATGAAAGCAAAGGTTAAGAAATACCACTCTCCCAAGATGTGTCTTGATTCAAATTTACGTACTGAATTAGGAAGAAAGAAAAGCCATATTATTTAGACTAAGAACTAGCACGTACAGTCCCTGGGTGGCACAATCAGTTAAGCCCTCAACTACTGAAAGGTTGGCAGTTCGAAACCACCCAGAGGCGCCTCAGAAGACAGGCCTGATGATCTATATCTGAAAGGTCACAGCCTTGAAAACCCTACGGAGAAGTTCTACTCCGCACACACACAGAGGGTCGCCATGAGTAGGAATCAACTCAACAGAAACTCATTTTTGGTTTTAAGGAGCAGCACAGTAATAACGATAATCTCAAATCACTTCTATTTGGAATTATGCAAGTGTACTTCTACAGATTAATCCCACACTAACGGTGTTCACTTTGTAGTCTGAGTACAGGCAGAGGGGCTGGTTGTTGTCGGGAAAGCGCTGTACACCTAAAAAAACCGCTGCCACGTCGCGGTGATCAGTGTTGACGCATCCAGGAACATTCCCCAATTAGGAACACAGGCTCCAACGTGAGCTCCATGTCACCCTGTTAAAAAAGCGACCTGCAAAGAGCACCTGCCCCAGGAAAGTCTGACGTGGGATGTGAAGTCACCTCCCATCTGATCAGGCATCTGCATTTCCGTCTGGAGAGCCTAACACTTCTGGCTTCACCACTCTAGGCCTGATTGTCAGGTAGGTGATCTGACTTGGTTTGGGGGCTGGGGGAAGTGGGACGGAAAGCAGAGAATGGTCCCATCTGGGGCCCTGGTCAGCCTGGCCCTCTGACACAGTCAGGCCCTAGAGAAGCGTAAAGTACGTGTGCATTCAAGAACCAGTTATGAAGGTGGGGAGAACACAGGCCTGTCAAACCCACTCCTTCACGTGGCCTTTTCTGCTGTTCTAAAGCAGTCCTGACAAAAACAGAAAGGAGCAGAAAGTGGGCTTCATCTGAGACCCTCGTCAATTTACAGGGACTGTGACAAAGACGGGGCTGCCCATGACAAATTCCATCAGATGGTGTTTTCAGATGACGAAAAAAAAATAGCCTAGTCATATGAAACAATATGATTTTATTCCCCAAGAACAGGGACTGGCAAACTAAAGCCAGAGGCTAAACCAGGCTGCCACCTGTTTTTGTAAATACAGTTTTACTGGAACAGTCGCACTTATTTACATACTGTGTAGAGCTGCAGTGGAGTAGTTGTAACAGAGCTCATATGGCCCACAAACCCTTAAATATTTACTCTTTGGCTTTTTACAGGGAAATTTTGCTGATTCCTGCTCTAAATAGTGGTAATTAACCCCTAGATTCACTTGAGGAACTTAACAACACTACACCTAGGCCCTACTAACAGACATTCTGATACAACTGGACAGGGATGGGGTCTAGGCCTCAGTGTTTTTAAAAAGATTCCCAGGTGACACTAAAGAGCAGCTAAGGTTGAGAACCACCGACAAAGAGGGAACTCAATCCTTACCAATAGCTTCCCAGGTTCGGTTTAAAACTACTAAGTTTAAAAACTCAGCTGGGTTCTCCCATTGTTCAACAAACTTCTGACCACGTTATTCAAATGCTGGCTTTTGCTCTCCTGTAAAAGCTTACTCCTATAATAGAAAATGAAATCTTGGAATAAAAAGCCCCTCTGGAATAAAAAAAAGGGACCTACAAAGCAGCCCCCTCCCATCAATATAGATTAGGAAGACTGAATTTATTTTTCTTCACCTTCTCTGAAACACTCACATATGAAGTCTCATTTTCCGAGCAGAGAAAGTGACCAAAAAGAAAAGTTATGAGACTTGTTTTAAGATCATGGGAGAGTCAGAAGTATAATGGGAGTCACATGACGGCATCCAACAAAAACAATATGCTTGTGGCCATGATGAATACACACACACACACACGCATGCACGCACACACACGCGCATTCACGCGCACACACGCACGCAAACGCACGGACACGCACACACATACACACGTGCACACATCATCTGCACGTAGCCTTATGTCAGGCTCTTCTACCTCAGGGATACCATCTATCAATAACCCTGACCCTGACCCTGACTTTGAAGAAGTTCACAAATTAAATAATACCTAAGTTTCCTTTTCCTGTACAGTGCGGCTTAAGGAATCTGCTTCAGTACATACACTTTCAGGACGCAGGAACATCAGGGCAAACACACTGAACTGAGCAACCCGCCTTTACTAACATCATGTGAAAAACAGTGGCACGTACTACACGCGACATCCTGTGGGGACAGAGAAAGGAACAGCGCGTGGTCCCGGACTCTGAAGAGAGTACAGTCTAGCTAGCACTGACAAAAACAGAAGCTAAGCACTAAAAGACTGAAATAACAAAGCATGGATCCTGAATACCATCTCTAGAGAGGAACCTGGTATAAGCAAAACTAAAGAGCTTAAAACAAACAAGGGTGGGCAGGAGAGCAGAGGGTATTTTTCTCTTCACTGAGGATACTTTAATGGAGCAGCTATCATGTGCCAGGCACTGTGCAGGTGCCGAGAGATGACTCATCGATGCCCTGTTATCCAGCACAGGCTGGTGGAATGGCAGGTGAACACCTCCATGCATGAGGGTGCTATTACAGAGGTAGGTACAAGACACTGGGAGGGGAACTGTGTAAAATGCCTCATTGGAAGGTGAGGAGAAAATGATAGACTGGGATAGCTTTAAAGAAAAAGTAAAATGTGATACGAGTTTTAAAAGATCAGTAAGAATACATCAACCACTCTGGCTGAGGGTGGGAAGAAGAGGCTTTATGTTCAGGGGGCAAAAGTGCACAAATGCTTCGGAGTGTGAGAAAGTGGGTCACCGTGGCTTTGCCAGAAGTTCAGTGCGATCCCAGAGGCCTGAAGGGAGAGAGGGTGGAAAGGAGGGAAGGTACCAGGCGAGGAGGGGTCTCTTGTGCCACAATGAGTCACTGAGTGTAATCCCAGGAGCCAACATTTCCAAAAGTGTCTGATGGAATGCTGCTTCCTTGGGATGGCAGTATCTATTTCTCAAAATATGAGTTTGAAAAATGCTGGTCTAGGCCCAATTAAACAGGGTTTCTTTACTGCAGGAAATGTCAGAGCCCATAATGAGCTAATGGACATGCGACTCTCCATCAAATACAGGATATGCTGAAAATGTACTTGATCATGGAACCCCCTTTCCACAGGGAACACTTATAGGGTCTACTGTACGTGAGGACTCACTCTGGAAATGTTAAGTGGGGAGACAGGGAGACAAATGATACCAAGTCAGCAACAGATGTGAGCAAACCTGCCTTTCCTAATGAAAACTACATATTTCCTATTTCTTTCTTAATGAAAAACACGAAGCATCAGTCACACAAATTCAGGAGAGTGCTTACCTGACACCTGTATACCCCTCTGGAAGCAGTCATACAAGGTTCTGACATCATCATAGAAATACACCAAGGGCTCATCGCTATCAAGCAGCGCGGATCTTCGAGCACCATCACTACCCTATTGAAAACGAAAAACGGAGGGGCGTGTTAGCAGGAGGTATTAAAACCCAGCTGCCTGCCCCCATGCCATCTCCACACTCCCCTCCACAGGCTCCTGCAGGGCAGCTGCTCGGGTGAGTATCGGTTGAATGGCTGAAGCGCAGGGTTTGCTGATGTGCTAGCACAGATCAATTGTTCACCTGGAAAGAAGCAGGGCTAAGACAAATGGCTGTCCAAAGGACCATGGGGAAACGAAAACAACTGAGGGGGAAAAAAAAGAGGTTCACAGCCCTGCAAACTCCAGTCCTGCCAGACAAGGGGAAAGAGCAGGAGAGAAACTGCAGACGGCCGCCACCGGACCTGTGTGATCATTCTCCAACGGCCGCCATCAGCAGCTCTTGTGGACATGACACTTCACTCAGTTTTATTTCCACATTGTTGTTATTAGCTGCCATCGAGTCAGCTCCCAACTCACGGAAACTCCACGCACAACAGAACGGACTGTTGTGATCCACAGGGTTTTCACTGGCTGATTTTCCAAACAGCCTGCCAGCCGTTTCTTCCTGGTCTGTCTGAGTCTGGGAGCCCCAGCGAAAGCTGTTCAGCACCACAGCAACACGCAGCCTCCACTGACAGACGGGCGGGGGCCGCAGGGGAAGGGCACTGGACTGGGAATCAAACCCGGCTCTCCCGCGGGGGAGGTTTACCGCTGAGCCACCACTGCGCCCGTGTTATCCGTATTCTCTGTCACCCTATTTTCATTGTTTCACCTCTTCAACAACTGCAGTATAACCTATCAGGAACTTCAGTTTCTCTACAGTATTTAACAGTTAAAAGCATCAACTACACTATGTACTGGCAGAGACGTGTCTTCACTAGCCGGATCTGCAGGCCTCGTGAGTGTGCAGAGCTGGGACTGCCGTGAGCGCTTCCGGAAGTTATCCTCATCTGTTGGCTCAGTAAGTACCATTTGTTGGCTGCTAGGTACAAGACAAACCTAACCACAGGAAAGAAGACAGCTCCTGTCCTCAAAGAGTAGCAAAAGCAGTCTTAGGAGGTAGGAGTTCTCAACCTGTCAGCTGCTGAGCCCTCTGGGGCCAGAGAGATACTGCAAAGCATTCAGGCATCCACAGGAAAGCCAAATGTTCTTTAGAGACTGATAAATAAAAACTCAACAACAATGATGTTAAACCCTATATATATATATATATATATTTTTTTTTAATTTCAGGGAGGAGCCTTCACATTTGCCATGGTCAGAAAACACTTTCTTAGAGGAAATTAGAGAACAATACAAGGACTCCTGGTACCACAAGTGGGTATCAAAAGTGGGAGAGAGAATTTTTGGTCTGAAATTTGAACAAAGCAAAAGACTTCATGAAGAAGGCAGTATTCTAGCTGGGTCTCAAAGAGCGGACAGTTTGGGTAGGCAGAGATCATGGGGGAAATGGGATATACTCCAGGGAAGAATCAACAAGGAAAACTTCTGTAAGGTAATCTCTGCCAGATCAGTTTTGATTGATACTTTTTTTTTTTTTAATTAGGATTCCTCAACTCCTCTTCCTCTAAGCTCTTACCTTTTGTTTCCCCTAAGTTATAATTTATATGCTATTGTTCTTTTTTTTTTTAATTTAAATGGTACAGAAGTACACTAAGGAAAAAATGACTAACTGCTATTAATGGTCTGGTAAGTTCTTTCGAGATCTTTTTTCTATGCTCATACATTTATACACATTCTTTCAATATCTACTATATGCTATATATGTGTATTTAACTCTTGATCTAAAACTTCTAATAGTTTTCTAGAGTAACTATCAACCTAGTATCTATTCTAATCACCACAGGGTTCTCTGTCTTAGCAGAAACTTTCAAATACCTGAGCCATGATTCCAAACATAACTACTAACTACAGCATGCTACTTCATGAACGTTACTCCTCACGCGCATGAAGACGGAAAAATCTCTTCACTCTCGTATCCCTTAATCTCTGCGTCTGTTTTCTGTAAAACGGAGATACCGTGTGTTTACTTCCAGGGTTATTTTTAGTTATGCAAGAATGTTTCTATAAAACATCAATGTGTAAGATATTACTCACACACCCTATAAATGCCCTAACTACAAGTCCTTCTTACCCTATATCTTTACTTCAACAAATACTCAAGACTACACTTCAGAAGCAATTTTAGGTCTCTATAAGGATCAGAAGCCTCTTCAACCCAGGGAACCACCAAAAAGACCCAGGACATCCAGGCTAAGGTAGGCAGAGAAAAGGGGACGTGGACAGAATGGTAGAGAATAGGGAGAATGGGAAGGGGTGAAAAAGACAGAAGAGGTGTGCGTGGTGAACCGGCACTGACCGCCACAGACACTATCTCCTGGCCACTGGCGCCAACCACCTCTGCCCGTCAAGATGTGGCCTGCAGGTACAGGCAGCCCTGCAGTCCACAGGAAGGTCCTCAGGACACTGTTCAGAATGCTGCCTTCTACCCCTCTCATCAGGACACTAACACATCTGTGGTATTCCTCAGTTGGTATCTCTTCAAAAACACCACCACTCTCCCTACGCATTCTGCGGAGTAGTTCTCACAGCTGTAGATGGGGACAGGTGGGAATCAGGTGAATCAAACAAAAAGCTTGTTCTGAAGGAGCCCAAGTCTTATCCTTAAGTGACCAGAGGGACTTCCAGAGCCTGGGTCTGGCTGGAGCTCTGGCTGCGCAGAAGTGCGCAGAAGTGAGAACAAGAAACACAAGGAAGTGTCTGAAGAGCTCAGGATTACCCTAGAGCTGAGGTCCTCAAAGTGTGGTCTGGGCCCGCCTAGCACATGTTAGGAAAGTAAATTCAGGCCCCCACCCCAGACCTACCAAATCAGAAACTCTGGAGGAGGGTCTTGGTAACACGTATTCTGACAAGCCCTCCAGGGGATTCTGGTGCTCATTCAAGTTTGAGAACCACTGTGCCGGGCAGGTCAGGGGTGAACATCCAGGTAATGATTTAGAAAGAAACCTACAAGGAGCACAACTGGATGGAGGGGAAGGGATGAAAGACAAACCAACTTAAAAGGGCCGGGATAAGGCAGTGGCTGGGGGAATGAGGAGAACACTCATGCCAGACACACTACAGCGGTAATGAACAGGATCTGGGAAGTGACTGGGAGCAAAAGAGGAAGGGGGAATCAGAGGGCAGAGAAGAGAGTGGTTCCATTTAACAACAACAGAAAATGGGGTTGGGAGATGTTTAAGAAAGATTAAGTTTAGCTTTGGATATATATGGAGACCACATCCCTTCAAGATAGTCTTTCAACTTCCCAATTCTTACGCGAATCACCGTTCTAGAGTAGCATTTTATAACAAAACTTTTGGCTATATACTTCTTTGACCAGGTTAATGTTTTGGTGGCATGTATTCTTCTAGACTTTGAGAAACATGGAGGTAAAATAGCCAAATCAAAGTTAATGAAGTTAACCATATCCCAATGAAAGCCATTATCCTGAGGACAAGATATTCATTATTACTCAACTAAGTCTAATTAGCAAAAGCTTGAAGATGAGCAGTAAACAGTATCTATGCAAAAAAGAAACAGTGAAGCACAGGTGCAACTGGGGAAAAGGGTATATTGCTACTTAACTGTAGGGCACACACTAATTTCAGGAGAGCAGACAGGATAAAACGGGAGGGGGGGCGCCAAGCAACAAGGTCTGTGCTCTGAAATTACCACACGTTCCCCTGCGAGTCATCATTTTTGATGTCAGTGTGACCATTCTCACTGACCGGAAATGCTATACTTCAACACTGGGTGTTCTCCCAGTAGCTGTGGAGTCCATTTTGACTTGTGGCAACTCCACGTGTGTCAGAGTACAGCTGCGCTCCATAGGGTTTTCAATGTTTGAGTTTTCTGGAGGTAGATCAGGCCTTTCTTCCAAGGTGTCTCTGAGGGGACTGGAACCTTCAACCTGTGAGTGAGCAGTCAAGCACACTAACCACTTGCGTTACCCAGGCTAGCAACCTCCAAAGGTGAGGGAATGCACTCTTACTGTTGGGAAGTGCAGTTGTAACACCTGTAGTCCCAAATGTCTGTGTGTGTTAGAAAACAGAGCCACTGCAAAAGGAGAAGATTTCATTACTGGGATATTCAAGTACATATGGTCATTTCTAGGCACATCTACTTAAATGAAAAAAACTTTCAAGTTTGCCTTTATGGCCTTCTGACATAACCTACAGATGGCTGGTGAAGGTGGGGGTTTCAGCTGCGCTAAGTAACAGGTCCAGATGAGCAAACGACCCCAACCGAATGTGCAGGAAATCGGCCATTGAGATTGTGAGTAAGGAAGGATTACGGGTCTTTTATTTCTTCTGCTATATACTTCTTTAATGTGGTAATACAGTTTTCCCCATTTAAAAAAATAAAACATTGTGAGTCAAAGACACTACAGTCAAATCAGCTGTCACAAGTATATTCTGCAATATCTACATAAGCTAATGTTCCTCTTGAATTCATTTTCCCCATATGGGCTGAATTAGGAAATAAAAGTTCAAGTTCCCCTTCAGGGGGAAGGGGAAAAGGTGGGAGTTGTAAGGCAGGACATCAGCGAATGTCATCGCTCCCCAAGCCTAGAACTCTTGCCAACATTTGACAAACAGGAATACTTGATGGTAAGTAATTTCAGGTCACTCCCATATTTAAATGCAAAGTAAATTACATCCCTGAGGATTTCTTGGGGATAGAAAGGCTCAAGTTTTATAAATTGTAGTCTCATTCATCTCAATCTATAAAATGGATATCTACGGGACATTAACAATTAAATAGCCATCAAGTTACTACCGTTTATTCCCTCTAAGGAGAGGGAGGATAGAAGGAGGGAGACAGGGAAGAGAGGGGAAGGGTGAAAAGAATGAGGAAGGGGAGAAGAAAGAGCTGGGAGGGAGAACCAAGCAACTTATAAAGAGAATGTTGAACACTTGGCTGGATTTTAATACCATATCCACCTCGAGGGAGAAGAGCAGCATGTGGAACCACAGTCCTGAGGGAAAATGACTTTTTTTCTCCTTCCGGTACTCTCCATGTGAAATACGTTTTACATGCTTCCCAACCTGAGCAGACCAACATCACCTGCTTCTTTTTACAAACAGATACAAAATGACTTTTCTATCCAGTGACCTTTCAGAGATCTCTGTCCATCACTTCCCATCTCCAGCAACACCAGATCTATCAAACGAGGGCCTTTAAAGGGCCAACCTATAGGTGCTCCCCTTCCCCCCAAATTTCTGAATGACAATGGCACTTGGATAGGCTATCTAAAAAACACCTAGCACCCCAACATGCTGAACCATCAAGGTCACAGAGTAGCAAGGAACCCTCAGGTTTTAACCCATGCTCACTATTTAACTGGCTAACTTCCCTAAATCTTGACCTTCAACTACTCCCAAGTGAGCAAAGAAAGGAAAAACTATCAGAGTAAGGATCAATACTGGGTTTTGTAATCGGAATGCAGGAAACAGGAAGGTAAGAGAGTATTTAGTGAGCGCCTGCTAAAGCCCAAGCACTTTCCAGAGGAGGAAACTGAAGCTCAGAAGGAGGCTTTCACCTCTCAGGCTCACATCTGCCACGCAGTGGAGCAGGGATCCACACCCAGCACAGTGGGATATCTGGGCACGTGAAGATTTGCTTCTGGCTCAAAGCAGATTCCAAATCTGCTCACATGCTGTGAATCTCCAGAGCAAGGCTGGGTTTTCTTGTTCTTCAACCTTTCCTCTAATCCTCAGAACCTTTTCCTTTCATTCCTTGTTAATTCTCCAGCTCCCAACTTCCTGAGCTCCTCACTATCCTGATCAGAGGATCTGCTTAAAGGGGGGAGTGGGGGCTGATACCGTATTTAGCAAAACAGAGTTCTGTGCTGCCACACATGTCAACCTGCTCACCAGAAAAAAATCAGCCAACCACAGGAGGAAAAACATCCTCCTCCCACCTCAGCGACACAGAAGAAAAGTTCAGAGTCACAAAACCCAAATTCCCACAAACAAGACCTCCTGCAGCATCTTTCCATGCCGTTCATTTAGAATATGTGAGGCACTCTGCTCTACTTCTGACCGGTCTAAAGGGAACCACATCTCCATTTCTTACCCTCTGTTGGCCTTTTGGACATCGGTGTGAAGCAGCGGTTTTGTCAAGAGGCATGGAAAGTCTACCTGCGTCATTTTTTTATTTGGCACAAGTTTGCTCTGTTTGGGGGAGGCTATTTTTAAACTTAAATAAATACTATAGCACGTTTCTGTCATTTATGCACACACATGTTCCTTGCTTAATGAAGTCTGTGAGAAGTGGTGTCATTTGTACAAAATCAAATTGTGTTCTCCTTAACAACTTACACTGGGTTCAGGCCTGCTTTACTGTATTCCTACACAGTGAACTTAGCCTTTTCTTTTTTAAAGGGAACCCCAAATAATTTTTTATTTATTTATTTACCTTTTAAACAATCGAGCCCTCATTAGTTTTTATCTTTCCTTCTTTGAATTCCCAAAGGCAGCTACTTACTACTTAAGTGGACTGGTCTTGGCACAAAGATCAGAAAGTCTGCCTTCAGGTCTCTCCCCTCACCCTGCAGCGCCCCCACCCAGCTGGCTGCTGCTCCACTGTCAGGGGTGATACCATCAGAGGCATTTCTAAGGTACGGCAAGTAAGGGCCCCCCGGCTGCCAACAAGCAGCTTCTATCGGTCGTTGCCGTTTCCACAGCCAGCGGTGAGGTCACACAGCGATTTCAACCTCAGTGTCATACGTGCTATTTTCTGCAGATACTCGCTGCCCACCACCTAATTCAAGCCACCAGTCACTTCCAAGAAGTTTTTCTAAGTTAGCAAACAGGTCTAACAACACATTAAAAAGAAACTCAATTAAGTTTCCTCAAATGTGAGTTTAGTAAGAAAATGTCATTTAGCAAGATTTTTCATGGTTTGTTTTTAAGAAGCCCCTACAGTTTCAGAAAAGGTGCTAAAGTTACCTCAAGGCACAAAATCACCGATGTGTGCACACTACCAGAATAACCCTTCTCAACAAAAACACCCCCTATTAAGTATGTCCTCTGCGGACCATCCCCACTGCCCCAACTGCTAGGACTGCTTGCTGAAAACACCCACAAAGGCTGCAACAATTTTCAGAAAAACATGTCCAAAAATTTCCTGGGTACCACAGCAGCAAATTTGCTAGGGGCAAAATCAGAAGTACAATTCTTTGCCCACATTTTATTAGCGGCACAATTATTTTGGAATCAGGACAAGGGAAAATGAGCCATAGGGAATAGTGACTGGGAACCTACAATCGCAAACGTTAAGTAAATGACAGTTAATGCCTAAAAGCAGTCGAGATTGACAGGAGAATTACTGACATGTATGAAGCCAGAGCACCGCCACTAGCAGATTCTTCCCAAGTCTCACACGCACTGCTAGTTCACTGTTCCAAAGCTCCCCAGGGATGAGAATTATGCTTGTATTTACAGATGACTGCAGAAACAACCTGGCTCGACCGCTGCTCCGAACATCTCTCCCTTCCTCCTAGTTCTCACCGGCTACCTCCCACCTGGTTCGGGTTCCACAGTCTAACACCTCTGCCTTACAGGTGGCTTTGACACTCCTTCCACAGACCCCCTCGGTTTGTGTCAGTGAGAGTGACTGATGCATCCCCTAACGGCTCCTCCTGGCCGTCCCTATCTGTCCACACGACAATGCTAACCACGTAAAAGTAAGCATCTACAATTACTGAGCACCATCACTCAAGAACTATCTCAAATTCAAAAATTTAAGTCCTTTTTAAGTTTAATATCTATTTCTGAAACTTGTGAATTCTGAAAATCAGAGTTCCATCTATTTCTACAAGCAAAGGGAAGTATCAGGAAGGCTATAATCAGGGAGTGAAATTATGAGTGATTTTAGTTTTATTTTTGCTTATTTGTAGTTTCAAATTGTTCTATAGAGAACTTGTATAATTATTTTAATGACTTTATGCTAAGGTGGAACTTAAAAATCACATTTTGAGTGCCCCCACAATCCCCATATAATAAGAATAAGGCATTTTATAAAGTTACTGCTAAGTTATAAATGTCTGAACCATACCTACACTTGCCAACTACTCTTTCCCCAGTGATGGCAATGCTGCTGTGATACTTTAGGTCCTCTGCCAGAAGAGAAGGAATTGCAAAACTCACACATATCTTATCTAGCAGAAAAAGTTAAATTCTAGTTATTATTGGTATGTGATTAGCTAATGTAAATATTAAGTTATCTTTACTTTATAAATAGAAATAAAGTGTAAAATCAACTTTCCCCAGCAGTAGTTCGGTCATTCTATTTTTATATTTTGGCGTGAATTAGACGGACGTATCTTTCATATGTTTTAAGAGTCTCACATTAATGAATCCAACAGATTTGTCTACAACAAAATAAAGAACTAAAATCTCAAAAATAACAAAAAGCTATTAGTTAGGCCAGCACTTCATCTGGAAGGGCGCCCACTCTCCTAGTGGGAATCAACTCAGGAAAAAGCAGGAAGGCCTTTCACCTCCATATGTATAAAGCAGTGCATGAGATGATTCTGCACTTCAGAACACTTTTGTTCTTCTGTGCATACGCTGAAAGTAATAAATACTGAACCTCAACTCTGACTTGGGTAGGAGAAAGCAAACCACTACAAAGCAAAGACCAGGTGAAGAAGCAAAATACCACTGAGAACCTGGCTTCTTCAATTTTTCAACCCCTCCCGTATTTTACTAACCTTGAGAAGAGAATAAGAAGGGAAGGGAGGTAGAGCAGGGGCACTAAGAATCTTTCTGAAAGGGTTATTTTAATGCAGTGGTGCAGTGGTTAAGCACCTGGCTGCTAACCAAAAGGTTAGCTATTCGAACTCACCAGCCACTGGGCAGGAGAAAGATGTGGCAGTCTGCTTCTGTAAAGATTGAGAGCCTTGGAAACCCTATAGGGCAGTTCTACTCTGTCCTATAGGATTGCTACGAGTAGGAATCGACTCGATGGCAATGGGTTTGGTTTGATTTATGCCATTCCACCCATTAAGCCATAATTGTGAAACATATGTTCTGGTTTAATTCTGGGGATTCTGTGAGCACAGCCTATAGTTTGCCCAAATCATATACAACCATGACACTCAACAACTCAAACTGAGAAGCTCTGAGATGCCTGTCTAGTTGTCTCCTACCCTAAATTCTATGGCCATATTATTCTGGCAAGTCCCTGGTTTTGCATTATCCTATTGGCAATCTGAGTCCCTTTCAACAGCTTGGGGACATGTTCTAAGGATTAGATATACCTCAAGACAAATCTTTCTGTCTGAAACATTTAACAACTCTCTTCCCTGCTGGACTAAACCCCTGTACAAGAAGGGACCCTATGTCTGTCTTTTTCCCTCACAGAATCCTCTGGGCCTGTGACTGCTGGAATGAACCTCAGGGAGACTTAGGTAAACATCAACATCACCTCATTTGTCCCTCAGCCCTATATTTTGGCTTCCACCACTATTATCATCAACAACTATTTGTTCAGCACATTTCTGTTTACAAAGCACCCGCACAAACAACTGACCGTGATTGTAATCTTGATCAATCTCACACTCAAGGGAGCTTAAAGAGTCTCGGGAAATGCAGAGCAACTGCCCACGGGCCCATGGCAGGCGGCCACCTCCACTTACCGCCACTTCCACCGACTGCATAGAGAGGTCACACGGTGGTTTCAGGGCTTTGGGTCTTGTGGCATACCAGAACGTGGTGAGCACTGCAAAAGCTCCGAAGCCCACCAGCGTGTTGGTTGGAAGACTGCGGACGTACTGTCGGAAGTCAACCAGCTCTGGCATTCGAAAATACCGCAACAACTCATGGACTTCCATTGTCCTGGGTTGGTGGATCTCGAAGCTGAATTCTGCTGGAAGAGAAAAACGTCATATTCATTCCAGGGAGGCAGGACTCTTCTGCAGAACTCTCAAAGGCCAACCATTTAATTCCATGGCTGGCTGCGCAAACAAAGCTTTAAATCCTTGTCTAATGGTTCAGGTCTTTTGCTTGCGGTCAAATTTAATTTTTCTAAAAATATGTCAGAAGTTCATTTTAGTCCTACTTCTCTACTGTCCCGTGTAAAGTTTTCATCAACCACATTAAAAGGCTTTATGCACAAAGAATTCTTGCCATAAAATGCTCAGATAAGTGGCATAAGTTTCCATTTGTATCTCTGGTTCCTTCCACCTGATCAAGTACACTCAACTCTCATTATCCGTGCTAAAGAGGGTCAGAGTGAAGAAGCACAGACATGTCTAAGCCACCTACAGGCCTCCACTTCCACTTCTCCACCAAGCTCCCCAACTGGTAAAACAGACCACTCTAAATTTCAACCTCTCTCACCTCCTCCCGTACGGTTCGCACTCCGAAAATTGTTTTCTTTTATATTCCCCTAGATATTATAGCTAAAAAAGAAAGAAATTGGTGTACGTAAATTTTAAAGTAACCATCAAGTATCTAGAGAGAGAGATTGCATGCACAGTGTTTGAGAGAAAGTACAGAATTGTATCTAAGATCCTAGATTCTGGAGCCAAATCCTGCTCGCCAGCTTATTAGCTGTATAATTTTGAGCAAATTACTTCACCTCACTGTGCTTCAGTCTCCTCATCTACAAATGGAGATGAGAATAGCACCTCTATCTCCCAGGGCTTTTATGAGGACTATCATGATTCACATAAAGTACTTAGAAGGGTGCCAACCGCCAGAAAGCACTCAACAAATGTTGAGTATTATTGTTTCCTCTACCAATACTCTGTGATTAGTCCTGAGTACAGAACAGTAAGGTACAAAAGTAATTAAAATGATGCTTTACAAGGAGTTTACAGGGAAATTAAGAATCCAAACCACCCAGAAGAATATTAGATGAACAATTCAATACACAGTAAAGCCTCAAACTGAATGTTACAATTTATACATTATAAAGAATAAACGTGCAGTAGGGATAATAAATAGTAATAAGTCTAATTAGAATATTATTGATGAATAACTGTGCCCTAAAATTTGTTTGGGCATAAAAGGAAGGAAATAATAGTAAATAATCTGAAAAGCTTTTCTCAAAAACTCCTGACAAGGCAATAATTGCTAACATGTTAACTGTAAGTCAGATGGTATTTGTGAGCTACTTATTACATGTTCTTTTTAAGAGCTAGGTCAGAAGACCGAGAATGTTTTTCTATTCTCAAATAGAGAAATCTATTTAAATTTAAATCTACAATACTATATTATTTCACGGAGTAGCAGAATATCAAGCTATCTTTACTGGCCACCAACACCGTCGGAGCCAGCATAATGTATCTGCTCAGCTCATTTCATCTCGTGCCGTGAGGACCCTTGTGTAAATGTACACACAGAGAAACTCTGAGGTTCTAACACGACAGTAAACAAGGCGCAGATAAGCGAACTTCTTCAGGTCATAATTGGGGAGAGAAAGCACCAGCGCTTACGAAACTACTCACCGTCTGTGCCAGCAACAGCTGACTGCAAGGTGACACACCGCTGCAGAACAGAGGACGGTGAGGGTGGGGCGGGAGAGCTCCGCGGGTGCTCACCAGCCTGCCAACATCTCTCAGGGCATTAGTCACAAGCCGGGTCCTGTGCTGCTGCCCAGTGGGCTAAAGGTAACTAGCAGACAAGATCCGTACTTGACTTCCCAGGAGAACAGGGGTGCAGAATGGGCCAATAAGGAGCTGGAAGCAGAGTCACCCCACTGCTCCACCCACAGGCAGGGACAAGCATCTGTCAGTGTCACTGCTGGTGCCAGTCCTGAGAACAGACATTGTTTTTTTCCTGCTCAGCTTCCCAATAAGCAGAGATAATGGGGATACTTTTAAAAACCACTGAAATGCATGGCCATATGCTGGGTGGCACATCTAAACAACATTAAGTCACACCAAGCAAGAAATATTTATTCTAGATGAATTCATAGGAATTGAGCTACTCCAGCCATTTAACATACTTGAGTGCCTAGTGTGTGCCAGGCCCCGTGCTAGGGGCTGGGGAACCTAGCGTGTGCCAGGCCCCGTGCTAGGGGCTGGGGAACCTAGCGTGTGCCAGGCCCCGTGCTAGGGGCTGGGGAACCTAGCGTGTGCCAGGCCCCGTGCTAGGGGCTGGGGAACCTAGCGTGTGCCAGGCCCCGTGCTAGGGGCTGGGGAACCTAGCGTGTGCCAGGCCCCGTGCTAGGGGCTGGGGAACCTAGCGTGTGCCAGGCCCCGTGCTAGGGGCTGGGGAACCTAGTGTGTGCCAGGCCCTGCGCAGGAGATACAGTGCAGAGGATACAGAATTGAACAAGCATTATCTGCAAGGCATGGTAAGTGTGATCCTATAAAATCAAGATAAGGGAAGGCCTCTCTGAGGAAGTGATGCTTACACTCAGACTTCAATGATAAGCAGACAAATTAAGTCCAGGTCCAGCACTGTGCCATCAGATTTCCTAAACAGTATTGCAGGAACCGTGGTTCAGCTGCTAACCCAAAGGTCAGCTCAAACCTATCAGCTGCTCAGAAGGAGAAATGACCTGGTGATCTGCTCCAGTAAAGATTACAGCCTAGGAAATCCTATGGGACAGTTCTACTCTGTCCTATAATCTCGCTGAGTTGTAACTGACTCGACAGGACACAGCAACAATACAACATTGCAGCTCTACAAACACAAAGCAAACTCAAAAACACAATGCACAAACTCTCCTTCCCTCAAACCATTCCATCTTACAGCTGTCTTTACCACCCTGCAGCATTCTAGGTCTGGACAGAAATCACCCACCCCTTACACACTCATCCCCCCCCTTCTCTCTCCAAAGTCACTGAAGTAATTTCTATAAAACCCAGATTGTGCGAATCTAGAGTTACAAGGGTTTGTTCAACGGAACCACATCCCCGTGTGAGACTTTAACTAATCGTTCTTCTGCATACCTCCTTGAACAGCCATAAGCAGGTGATTAATTCTATTTTAAGCACTGGCAGCAGCCAAGTTACAGACAGCATTATACTAAGAAGGAGCCCTGGTGGCTCAGTGGTTAAGAGCTTGGCTGTTAACCAAAAGGTTGGCAGTTTGAATCCACCAGCCGCTCCTTGGAAACCCTACGGCCAGTTCTACTCTGTCCTATAGGGTCACTATGAGTTGGAATCAACTCGACGGCAATGGGTCTACACTAAGAAAGTTCAATAACTCTAGAGACGAAAAACTTAAAAAAAATAAAACCTCAAAAATTACAGATTTAGTGGCACACGTGGAGGAGCATTTTATTAGATACAAATCTGTAATGCTAAGGATTTAAAGCCAGTCAAATTCCTATCCTCAGTGGCTGATGATGATAAGCTACAGCAGTTTAATTCACACCTCTTAGCGGGCAGCCAGGTAACAAGCTGCAAACGAATTTCACTGAACAAACTGGCTAATGCTGTACGCAGGAAAACTATAGTCTATTTTCAAAAAAAGCAAGAAAAAACTAAGAGAATACCTCATTTAGATTCATGTAAAGAACTCTTAATTATGAAACCGATAACATTATAAATATTTTCCCTTCTATTTAACTGCTATTAAGGAAAAAGGTACTTGGGATATTTAAAAATGGAGGCAAACCTACATTCGAAGAAACACTGAATGGCCTCTAAATGCTGCAGGTAAACAAAGTCATCACACTTTAAGAATCAGTCCTAACAGGCCTCTAGCAAGCTAACAGAAGGCCAAAACTCAGAGACAGATTTTATTCTTATTCTAATGGTATTTTAATTGGAATTTTTTTTTTTTTTATTCTTTCGAAAGCAGATTTCCACATCATCATCTCCGGACATTAATAACCCAAGGATATAAATCACACTGTTGTTTGCTAACAACATGATTCAATCAGCTTACAAGCTTAAGAAGCCAGTGTTTCTCTGTGGGGAACACACAATACTACTGACAGCTAGCTTGTCCTTGCTCTACAGCTACTCCTGTGCATCTTCCCTCCCCACCTGCAAAAAGCAGGTTTGCTCAGTCTGGTCTTTTGAATTTTGTATAAAGTTTAAAAAATCACAGAATGACGGACAACATAACAATGAGCAGGGAGATCTGGCACAGGCCCAGCATAAAGCAAGCAGAGCAGAGGACGCTTTAAATAGACCAGGGGAGAAACAGAAGACATAGCAGGGCAGAGAGATAAGAACTGGACTGCACGACTGTCAGAAAACCTAAATCCTGGTACCTGTCTGCCCAAACACAGCCCTGGTGGCCCAGTGGTTAAGAGCTATGGCTGCTAACCAAAAGGTTAGCAGTTTGAATCCACCAGCTGCCCCCTGGAAACCCTATGGGGCAGTTCTACTCTGTCCTCTAGGGTCGCTATGAGTTGGAATCGACTCGACGGCAACAGGTTTGGTCTGCCCAAACACTGGACAGAAGAGCTAACAAAAAAATTAGCATTTAGTGTTTAGGAAAGGCTTTCACGTCCTGTATGTTATGTGAACATCACAGAAACAAAATGGGTTGTTTTACATGAGGAAACCAAGATCAAAGACTTAAAGGCTTGCCCAGGATGTCTCGTCAAGACTGGGAAACCACCTGATTCCACATCCATGCTTTTTCCTCCACATAAACAATTCTTAACTTCTGTTGGGCCACGGACCCTCTCCACTGAGAACAGCCATGTAATTATTTGCATATGGGGCTCACAAATCCCCTTCAGTCCACCCCAGGTTAGGCATCACCAGACCAGGTGATTTCTCAGGGTCCTTCTGGCACTGCCGCTCCATGGTATTACGAGAGCTGAGCATCTGAAATCCATCTCAGCTCTCACTGTCTTACAGAACACCACGCCAGTCGCCTTCCAGTCGACTCAGACTGTTGGCGACTCCATGTGTGTCAGAGTAGAAACTGTGCTCCACAGGGTTTTC